CCCACAGCAGCCCTCGAAAGTGGCGACAATTTCACAGATCGTAGCCCCTCAGCGCTGGCGAGGTCTAATCTGAGTCCCCGTAGGACGTCACTCCGCTGGCCCCCCAAGCAGCCTTCGAAAGTGGCGACAGTTTCACAGATCGCAGCCCCCCAGGGATGGCGAGGTCTAATCTGTATCCCCGTAGGGCGTCACTCCGCTGGCCCCCCCACGCAGCCTTCGAAAGTGGCGACAGTTTCACAGATCGCAGCCCCCCAGGGATGGCGAGGTCTAATCTGAATCCCCGTAGGGCGTCACTCCGCTGGGCCCCCCAGCAGCCCTCGAAAGTGGCGACAGTTTCACAGATCGCAGCCCCCCAGGAATGGCGAGGTCTAATCTGAATCCCCGTAGGGCGTCACTCCGCTGGGCCCCCCAGCAGTCCTCGAAAGTGGCGACAGTTTCACAGATCGCAGCCCCCCAGGGATGGCGAGGTCTAATCTGAGTCCCCGTAGGGCGTCACTCTGCTGGGCCCCCCCAGCAGCCTTCGAAAGTGGCGACAGCTTCACAGATCGCAACCCCCCAGGGATGGCGAGGTCAAATCTAAGTCCCCGTGGGGCGTCACTGTGCTGGGCCCCCCAGCAGGGCTCGAAAGTGGCGACAGCTTCACAGATCGCACCCCCCCAGGGATGGCGAGGTCTAATCTGAATCCCCGTAGGGCGTCACTCCGCTGGGCCCTCCAGCAGGCCTCGAACGTGGCGGTAGTTTCGCAGATCGCAGCCCCCCCGGGATGGCGAGGTCTAATCTGAGTCCCCGTAGGGCGTCACTCCGCTGGCCACCCCAGCAGCCCTCGAAAGTGGCGACAGTTTCACAGATCGCAGCCCCCCAGAGATGGCGAGGTCTAATCTGAGTCCCCGTGGGGCGTCACTCCGCTGGCCACCCCAGCAGCCCTCGAAAGTGGCGACAGTTTCACAGATCGCAGCCCCCCAGGGATGGCGAGGTCTAATCTGAGTCCCCGTAGGGCGTCACTCCGCTGGCCACCCCAGCAGCCCTCGAAAGCGGCGACAGTTTCGCAGATCGCAGCCCCCCAGGGATGGCGAGGTCTAATCTGAGTCCCCGTAGGGCGTCACTCCGCTGGCCACCCCAGCAGTCCTCGAAAGTGGCAACAGTTTCACAGATCGCAGCCCCCCAGGGATGGCGAGGTCTAATCTGAGTCCCCGTGGGGCGTCACTCCGCTGGCCACCCCAGCAGCCCTCGAAAGTGACGACAGTCTCGCAGATCGCCGCCCCCCAGGGATGGCGAGGTCTAATCTGAGTCCCCGTAGGGCGTCACTCCGCTGGGCCCCCCAGCAGCCCTCGAAAGTGGCGACAGTTTCACAGATCGCAGCCCCCCAGGGATGGCGAGGTCTAATCTGAGTCCCCGTAGGGCGTCACTCCGCTGGGCCCCCCAGCAGCTCTCGAAAGTGGCGACAGTTTCGCAGATCGCAGCCCCCCAGAGATGGCGAGGTCTAATCTGAGTCCCCGTAGGGCGTCACTCCGCTGGGCCCCCCAACAGCCCTCGAAAGTGGCGACAGTTTCACAGATCGCAGCCCCCCAAGGGTAAGAGCAAGAGAAGAGAGGAGGAGGCGGGAAGAGGCGGGAGGAGGAGAAGGAAGGTGGAGACCACAGTGCCCTATTCAAAACGAGTACCCAACGCAGGAGGGTTGGGAACAATTACCCTGGCGACGTACCCAACCCCTGCGCAAACGCGGGGCGCAAATAGTTTAGGTCACGTTTATAAAAAGGGGGGCGATGACGGAGCGAGGGTTACATATGTCTGCAGACGGAATTCGGGAGACTCGAAGGACACTGGCTACAGGACAAGGGCTAGATGAAGCTGGTTAATTACAGTCCCTGAGCAACCCTAGCCACTTCGAAAGCGGGGATCTCATATCGCAGCCCCCCTGGGATGGCGAGGCCTAATTTGGGTCCGCCCGTGGCGTCACTGTGCTGCCCCCCCCCAGCAGGCCTCGAGAATGGTGACAGCTTCACATATCGAATCCCACCAGGGATGGCGAGGTCTAATTTGGGTCCGCGCGTGGCGTCACTGTGCTGGGCCCCCCAGCAGGCCTCGAAAGTGGCGGCAGTTTCACAGATCGCAGCCCCCCACGGATGGCGAGGTCTAACTTGGGTCTGCACGTGGCGTCACTGTGCTGGGCCCCCCAGCAGGCCTCGAAAGTGGCGACGATTTCACAGATCGCAGCCCCCCAGGGATGGCGAGGTCTAATTTGGGTCCGCGCGTTGCGTCACTGTGCTGGGCCCCCCAGCAGGCCTCGAAAGTGGCGACAGTTTCACAGATCGCAGCCCCCCAAAGGATGGCGAGGTCTAATTTGGGTCCGCGCGTGGCGTCACTGCGCTGGGCCCCCCAGCAGCCCTCGAAAGTGGCGACACTTTCACAGATCGCAGCCCCCCACGGATGGCGAGGTCTAGTGTGGGTCCGCGCGTGGCGTCACTGTGCTGCGCTCCCCAGCAGGCCTCGAAAGTGGCGACAGTTTCACAGATCGCAGCCCCCCAGGGATGGCGAGTTCCAAATTGAGTCCGCCCGTGGCGTCACTGTGCTGGGCCCCCCAGCAGGGCTCGAAAGTGGCGACACTTTCACAGATCGCAGCCCCCCAGGGATGGCGAGGTCTAATTTGGGTCCGCGCGTGGCGTCACTGTGCTGGGCCCCCCAGCGAAAGTGGCGACAGTTTCACAGATCGCAGCCCCCCAGGGATGGCGAGGTCTAATTTGAATCCGCGCGTCGCCCTCACTGTGCTGGGCCCCCCAGCAGGCCTCGAAAGTGGCGACACTTTCACAGATCGCAGCCCCCCACGGATGGCGAGGTCTAATTTGAATCCGCGCGTGGCCCTCACTGTGCTGGGCCCCCCAGCAGGCCTCGAAAGTGGCGACAGTTTCACAGATCGCAGCCCCCCAAAGGATGGCGAGGTCTAATTTGGGTCTGCGCGTCGCCTCACTGTGCTGGGCCCCCCAGCAGGCCTCGAAAGTGGCGACAGTTTCACAGATCGCAGCCCCCCAGGGATGGCGAGGTCTAATTTGGGTCTCGCCCTCACTGTGCAGGGCCCCCCAGCAGGCCTCGAAAGTGGCGACAGTTTCACAGATCGCAGCCCCCCCAGGGATGGCGAGGTCTAATTTGGGTCCGCCCGTCGCCCTCACTGTGCAGGGCCCCCCAGCAGGCCTCGAAATGGCGACAGTTTCACAGATCGCAGCCCCCCCAGAGATGGCGAGGTCTAATTTGAATCCGCGCGTGGCCCTCATTGTGCTGGGCCCCCCAGTAGGCCTCGAAATTGGCGGCAGTTTCACAGATCGCAACCCCCCCAGGGATGGCGAGGTCCAATTTGAATCCGCGCGTCGCCCTCACTGTGCTGGGCCCCCCAGCAGGCCTCGAAAATGGCGACAGTTTCACAGATCGCAGCCCCCCAGGGATGGCGAGGTCTAATTTGAATCCGCGCGTCGCCCTCACTGTGCTGGGCCCCCCAGCAGGCCTCGAAAATGGCGACAGTTTCACAGATCGCAGCCCCCCAGGGATGGCGAGGTCTAATTTGAATCTGCGCGTGCCCTCACTGTGCTGGGCCCCCCAGCAGGCCTCGAAAGTGGCGACAGTTTCACAGATCGCAGCCCCCCAGGGATGGCGAGGTCTAATTTGAATCTGCGCGTCGCCCTCACTGTGCTGAGCCCCCCAGCAGGCCTCGAAAGTGGCGACACTTTCACAGATCGCAGCCCCCCCAGGGATGGCGAGGTCTAATTTGAATCTGCGCGTCGCCCTCACTTTGCTGGGCCCCCCAGCAGGCCTCGAAAATGGCGGCAGTTTCACAGATCGCAACCCCCCCAGGGATGGCGAGGTCCAATTTGAATCTGCGCGTCGCCCTCACTTTGCTGGGCCCCCCAGCAGGCCTCGAACATGGCGACAGTTTCACAGATCGCAGCCGCCCGCAGGCAAGACAGGAAGAGGCAGGGAGGGAGGGAGGAGGAAGGAAGGAAGGAGTGGAGACCACACTGCTCTATTCAAAACGAATACCCAACCGAGGAGGGTTGGGAAAAAAACGTCCCCAGACTATTGTTTACTATCTTTGGGTACTCTTCCTGTAGAGGGACAAGCCCGACTTAATCATAACTGCACGGGGGAGTACGTGAGGGGAGGACCGGCCCTCCGTGGGGGGGGGAACCCTCCAGCTGGCGTCGGCGATGCTGCATCGCCGATGTGAGGGGGCCCAGGGACACACAAAAAATACACACGAATCCCAGGATTCCCCACATGTTCCCACACTTTTTGGGTTGGCGTTTTCCCCTCCTCTTCCCATATCTTCCCATATTTTCGGGGGAATCGACGATTCATTGTGTCTGTGTGTTTTTCCCTCCTGGCGATTGATCGGCAGGCCCCCGAGAACGAATCCCCGCTCTCCGGGAAGAGGGGGGGGGCTATCGGGCCCATGTCGGCATTGAGGGTCGATGCGCTCCCCCCCTGGGACTATATTTGTGGATGCCGCGACACTGGACACCCTAACAGTCCTATCATTGAATTTAAAATGTGCGTAACATGTCGGAAACATGTTCTAAACATGGTTTACGCATGCTGTATTATATGCTTAAAGCATGGTTAACACATGTTTTAGACATCTGGACATTATTTGGCAACATGCTTCCTCACCATTCATCGTCCTCCACAGCCATATCGGCATTGAGGGTCGATGCGCTCCCCCCTGGGACTATATCCCGTCTTCAGTGGTTGGCTTTCTGGTCATGGCTCGGGAATCTGGCGGCCGCTCGGGACGATCCGGGCAACCCTAGAACGCTCTCCGCGAGGAGCAGCTGTGGAACGCATCCCTATGCTCGAAAAAGCAGACATCCACCGGAAACGCCCGAACGCTTCGAGCTCCGACCGTGTCTCACCTTCCGGTGTTCGACACGTCCCTGGGCCTACATCATGCCATCTCTGGCGCTACCCCAAATACACCGCGGTACCGCGATGGCGGACATCGCGCGCCAGCGCACCTGGATCTCCTCCATGTCTTCCCGCATCCTCCGCTTGCCGGCGGCGAGCAAGGGGGGGCAGTGAGACGGAGAAGGCCTTCTCGGAAGGCGGCAGGGCTTCTCATAAGGCCTCCGGCCTCCTGAAAGGCTGCGGCCCTCTTGAAAAGTTGTCCTTGTCTTCGGGGAAGGTTCAGAAAAGAGGCAGTGTTTTTTGGAGTCGGCGATAACCCGGGTTATCGAGGGCTGGGGGAGGGCCGGCCGATAACCCAACCTTCGCGCTGTGGAGTGGACAGCCCTGCATATGCCCGCGCCCCCCACCCCAGACCTGCACAACCGGCAAGGTTAAGTTATCCTGGAGGGGGGAGGGGGGGGGGGGGGGGCAAGCCCGATAACCCAGGTTATCGCCTGACCCCAAAAAATCTTAACCATCTCAGAAGCTCGGGGGGCTTCCGAGCCTTCTGAGAAGGCCCGCCCCTTCTCATGATGGGCCTGTTTCCCACCAACCCCACCAAGGAGGAGGAGGAGGAGGAGGAGGAGGAGGAGGAGGAGGGAGGAGGGAGGAGGGAGGAGGAGGAAAAGGACGAAGAGAACGAGTAGGACGAAGAGAACGATGAGGAGGAGGAGGAGGATGAGGAGGAGGAGGAGGAGGAGGAGGAGGAGGAGGAGGACCCCCTCCCCCTCCAACTTATGGTTGTGGTGGTGGAAAACAGGCCCGCCCCTTCTCACTTTCCCCCCGGGCTCGCCGCCGAGCTTGCTCTGCTCGGCGCGGTCGCCGGCGTCGGCGGGCAGGGCCTCGAGGTGCTCCGGCGGCGGCCGCCCGCAGCGCGCGCGGGCCTCCCGCAGCCGCGCCCGCAGCCGCGCTGCGGCCGAGAGGCCCTCCGCGTGCCGCAGCGCGCGCAGGAAGTCGGCGCGTGTGGCGGTGGGCTCGCGGCAGGCCAGGCGCGTGTACCTCCGGTCCCAGACCCCCTCTCTCCATGTGGAAAAAACACGACGGGAGGTCTTTCGCTACTCTCGGCCTCTGGGGGCCCTTACTGGGCCTCGGGGCCGTCAGAAAACGACTCAGGGTGAAGGACCGGTCCCAGGGAATGGGTCGAGACCTCTGGGGGTCAACGTCATGAAAAAATCATGACGTCGGGGGCCTCGGGTAGGAGGGGACGGGTGCGGTCCTATACGCTGGGTTCACGCAGCGTCGGCGCGCGCAGAGGTCTTCGAAACCGCCAGATTGGGCGCGAAAGAAAACGTTGACCTTTTTTCGGGCCCTGAAAGGCCCATCTGGGACCCTTTCGGGTTCCTAAAGGACCCCTTTTCTGCAGCCCTCGCTGCCCCTCCCATTGATCGCCCCCTATTAATCCGCACCCAACCGAAGCGTGGTGGTCCAGAACTGGCGGCGCGACGCGCTATCCCGAAGTTCCCGACCGTAGACATGGCGTGCCGCGCAACGCGGTGCGGTAGCAACAGTACCGCGACGCAAATAACATGAAAACAGCTCGCATCAAAAAGCAACACCGCAGAGCAAACCGTGCAAGCCCGTGCAACGAGAAACGATGCAGTGCTGCCGCCGTCGACGTGGCCGTCGTCCTGGTCGTCGTCGTCGTCGTCGTCGTCGTCGTCGTCGTCGTCCTTCAAGGTCAGCGGCACCAGCCGCAAGGCCTTCAGAATCAGGGGGGGAAGATGAGGGGGGGGGGGGCAGGAAAAGTGAGAGGAGAAGCGAGAGGGGGAGGAGGAGGAGGAGGAGGAGGAGGAGGAGGAGGAGGAGGAGGAGGAGGAGGAAACGGACCCTCAGAGATTGCTTGCTGTCCAGAGGATAGTGCTGGGTTTTTACTTTTGCAACTCGATCAGGCATCTGTCTGTGATTGATAATGATATTATCTATATGCACGCTCGTGCTGCTCGGTCTCAACTCTTACAGCAGGCTGAGATCGAGGCGTGATGACCTACGGACCCCTCAAGGGACGCCTCCGGATGAAAAGCTGGCCCTCGGGAAGGGGTCAGGACCTCGTGACTACACGTGCTCCTCGGGCAGAGGGCACGCGCTCGCGGGCAGAGAGACTCCGCGCCGGCGCGGTTCGCAGCGACCGTGGTCGCGATGTTTTGCTTCGCGTGTCGCGAGGGCGGCCCGAGGGGCACACGATGCCTCGCAAGCAGATGGCGTGTCGCTCCGCCCCGCGGGGGGCGGGAGGCCGGGCAAGGCTCGGGACACCGATGCTTGGGGACTGGGACGTGGTCGCCGTGTCGCGGCGACGCGTGGTGGGCCAGAACAGGCGGCGGGACACGCCAAGCGAAACACCCTGACCGTAAGGCATCCCGTGTGTGTGTGTGTGTGTGCAGTTCCGGCCGAAAGCGATGTGTACCCCCAAATGGCCGACCGCAGCGTTGCATTCTCGTGCAGTAGAAGTCGGCCAGAATTTCGGCTGGCCGTCATGCGCAACCCCACCGTTCCATGGTCAGGGTCATCCTGAGCCCTGACTTTGTGCATTACACTCAGGGCTCCCTAAACGGGAGCACGACAAAACGTGGACATCGGTGCTCCCCGTGCCCCAGGTTGCGGTGACCCCGTCTCTGGCGCCCTAATACATGCCCTCCCGGCAGAGGCACAGAGAGTCTATACACCAATTATCCCAGTGCGACCCTACCTAGGAGTTGGAGCATTTAGGAAAGCAACATCTATATCTAAACCGACAGCTACATCAACATCTACACCTGCATCTACATCCACATCAACATCAACTGCGAGACTCACACCTACATCTACATCTACACCTACATCTACACCTACATCTACATCTACATCTACACCTACACCTACATTCACATCTACATCTACACTTTCGCATTGGTTTTGTTTTTGCTTTGCATTGCCTTGCCTTTGCTTTTGCTTTTGCTGTTGCTTTTGCTTTGATGGTGTTGTTGATGCTGCTTGAGCTTTTTTTTGCTTTGCCTGCGCACAGACACACACACGCATGTTATCGCATTGCTTTGCGTTGCTTTGCTTTGCTTTGTTTCTGATTTGCTTTGCTTTTGCGTCTGCTTTGCTTTGCTGTCGCTGCTGTTGCTTTGCCTTTGTTTTGCTGCTGTGCTATGCTATGCTATGCTATGCGATGCTATGCGATGCTATGCTATGCTATGCTGCGCTATGCTATGTTATGCTGGGCTTTGCTATGATATGCTGTGCTGCGCTGTGCTGTGCTACGCTCTGCTATGCTATGCTGTGCTCTGCTATGCTAAAGCTCGGCGAAACTAAGATGAAGGTAAGCTAAGCTAAGATAAACCAGAGCTACGATGTCACTAAGCTAAGCTAAGATGAAATAAGCTAAATTATGCTAAGCTAAGATGGGCTAAACAACGCTAAACTAAGGGGCCGTCACTGGGGGAACCGCGGCGCCGATACTGGGGGAAGCGCCCGGGGCGAGGACCACTGCCCGGCCCTTTAAACATACATGGTAAGAACCCTTCTAGGCAGAGCCTAGGTAGGGAACATGGGGCGCGGGATGGCCCTTGGGCCAAGCATGCTGGTCGTGCGTACTTACTTGATGGGGCCCCTTGCTAAGCCTTCTAAGTTTTTCTCTAAGCAGGCTAACGTAGTTCAGCTGACATTTGAAATTGTTTAGCACGGCTTCGCTCCCGCAGAGTAGCTTAAACGCAGTTAATGTGTTATACAACCAAAAGGCGAGGTGTGCTTGTGCGGGTCAAAGTGTTCACCGGCATGGTCAAAGACGTTAAATTATGTTCATGTATATCAGGGATGATGATGTGGATGATGCGTGTCGCAGCAGCTGGAGCTGCAATTCAATTCTGTCTGCGCGGCTGCAGCCGCCGATCCCCCCCCCAGCGCTCCGCGCGCAGGAGCTACAGCTCCGTTTTCTTGGCCGTAGCCAAGCGGATTGAGGACGATCGCGCGGCCTCCAAGGTCAATGGTCCACGCCACCGCCCCCCCCCCCCCCCCCGCCATCTCGTCTAAGACCACGCACTGCAGCTTCGCGCCGCGCGCCGCCGAAGTCCGCCCGCCAGACGCTGGCGTAGTACTTGGCGACGTGGAAGGTCCATCGCGTAGCCGCTTGCCGCGCTCCGCATCACCGCGACGTCGCCCACGGCGACGCGATCGCAGGTGTTCAGGCAAGCGTGCTTGGCGACCCTGAACTCTAAGCCAAGGAACTGGAAAGCGTTCTGCAGCGCGGCCTTCAGTTTCTCGGCGCGGCCTTGCCGATGCTGCGCGTGTGCTCGCTAGCGACGTCCATTGGGACGAAACTGTCCGACCCGTGGCAAAAATGGGCGCAACTGGCAAAAAATCGCGCGTCTTTCACCGACCTTGCGCCCCCGCGCCAGCGGCCAGTGCGCGAGCAAGGGACCCCACTTCGCCACGAGCGCGGGCAAGTGCACGAGACCCGCGCGCGCGCCCACGCGCCGCATGAACGCGCGGGTGGGAACGGTGCACATCTTCGCGGATTCAGCCGCGTTGGAATCAACTCTCGCCGAAGCCAGCAATCCCAGCGGCCACCGTCGCCCTCGCCAGGTCCACCCCCGCTGCCGCCATCGCGTTCGCCCCCCATCGCACCTCTTGCGCCCGCCCCCCAACCTCCCCGTTGCCAGCGCGAGGCGCCCTCATCGCTGCGACCTTCGCCCGCCCGCCCCCCCCTCCCTCCCTGCGCCCGACGCGCCGAACGCCGTTGGATCGCGGGGCGTCTGCAGCCCGCAGTTCTTCATCGGCATGGAAGTGCCGACAGATCTTCATCGGCATGGGCGCGTTCGAGTCGAGTCGAGTCGCGCCCCGCCGAGGAAAAACTGGCCCCAGCGAAGGGGAGGGCGGCGGCCGCTGGCAGACAGGCGGGCCCGCCTGAAGCAGCAAGGCGAGAAGATGGCGCGCGCTGCCCGGGCTCAGTGCAGGGTGAAGTCCGATTCTGAATTGCTCCGCCCCTTCAATATTGCGCGCTGCCACTTTCCGATTATCCCCGCAAGCGCCGACGGAGCCGTCGCTCCATCTTTCGCTGGCCGACCGACGCGGTCCCTCGTGCTTCGACGCGCCTAGGGCTCCGCAGCAAGACTTTGTATGGCCGCTTGTGTTCCAAACGTTCTTCGATGTGACGTGCCGCGCGTTGTAGCCAATCAGCCCGTGAGACTCCAGTTCCTCCTCCGCGTGCTCCTCATCTGCCCTGTCGCGCACCGGCGCGCGCATCGACCCGAACCAATGGCAAGTCTCAGCATCGCGCTGCGTTTTCAACGGCCGATCCATTTCGGCCGCCAATGTCCAGCGCGCCGTCAATGTCCGGCATGGGCGCGCTGGCATCTTCATATCCGCCACCGTGCCTGCACGGAGTGGGCGCGTTAGAATGCTCGTCTGTTGTCCGGGAAGATATTTCACAGCGCATCGCGCCGATCCCCCCCGACGCACGCGCCCCTTAGACGCCGCCCCCTTCTGAACTTGCTTTCTGGCGGTCTTTTCGGCCCCCCCAGGTGGCACAGACGGCCCCCGAGGCGGTTTCCAAGACAGCGAAGGCGACGCCAAGACGGCCCAACATGGCCCAGGATGACTCAAGAGCCACTCAAGACAGCCCAAGGACGGCCCAAGAGGCTGCCGAGAGCGAAAGGCCCCCGAGACGGCCCAAGAAGTTCCGGGAGGCCTCCCCAGAAGGCACAAGGGGGCCCGCTGGGCTCTTCTGGAGGGCCTCTTGGACACCGCTTGGGCCGTCTCGGGGACCTCTCGATATGTCCTGAAGCCTTCCCGGGAGCCCCATGGCTTCCAAGGGTGGCTCTCAGGGCAGCCAAGATGGCCAAAGACGACTCAACAGGCCCCCGAGACAACCCGGCGACATTTCGAGAAGCCCCCAAGACGGACCAAGAGAGCTCCAAGAGGCCCTCCTGGAGAGCTCAAGGAGGCCAAGATCATTCATGATCCTCAGGTAGTTAAAGAAGTGCGAGTTTCTCGCGCGCTCGGGTTGGCGCCCGCCCAAGATGGCCCAATAAGCCTACAAGAGGCCTCCAATATACATCCAAGACGGCCCAAGAGAGACTCCGGCGTGTGAACTTACAGGGGAAGGGGTGACCGGGGTGGCTCAGCCGGGATAGTGGGAGGGGAGGGGGGGTGGGTACGGTGGCGTAGGTTCCGGTGGCGCGGGGGGGGGGCGGGTCCGGTCCCCCGTCCCGCCTGTGGACAAGAAGAATTGGGGGAAGAGGGGTGGTGGTGGTTCCGGTGACCGGGCCGGCTCTGCCGGGGTAGGGTTCCCGCCCGTGGACACGGGGGGGTGGGGGAAAAGGGGGGGGGTCCGGTGGCGCGGGTTTCGATGGCGTGGAGGAAGGGAAAAGGGGTTCCGTAGCGCGTGAGTTTGAAGGGGCCTCAGCTACAGCCTCGAGACTGAGATTCAGCCTCTGGGGGAGGGGGTGCCGGGGTGGCTCTGCCAGGGGCGGAAGGGAAGGGGGGGGGCGCGCGCGCGCGGGGGGGAATGTTTGTCTGTGTGCGCGAGAAAAGAATCGGAGAAAGAGGGAAGGAGAAGTGGGACGGGCCAAGAGCGGAAAACGGAGAACAAATGGGGGGAAGACGAAGGTGGCGGTGAAATGCGTGTCTGTTGTGTGTGTGTGTGTGTGTGTGTGTGTGTGTGTGTGCGTGTGTGTGTGTGTGTGTGTGCGTGCGCGTGCGTGCGTGTGCGTGCGTGCGTGCGTGCGTGCGTGTGCGTGCGTGTGTGTGCGTGTGTGTGTGTGTGTGTGTGTGGTGTGTGTGTGTGTGTGTGTGTGTGTGTGTGGTGTGCGCGGCGTGTGTATGTGCGTGCGTGCCTGCGTGCGTGCGTGCGTGCGTGCGTGTGTGTGTGTGTGTGCGTGTGTGTGTGCTGCCGGCGTGTGCGTGTGTATGTGCCTGCAAAGGTGGCGCACGTGTATGAGTGTGGTGTGTGTGTGCGTGTGTCTATGTGTCTGTGTGTGTAGTGTGTGTGTGTAGTGTGTGTGTGTGTGTGTGCGCGCGCGTGCGTGGGTGCGTGCGTGCGTGCGTGCGTGCGTGCGTGCGTGCGTGTATGTGTGTGTGTGCGTGTGTTTGTGCGTGTGTGTGTGTGTGTGTGTGTGTGTGTGTGTGTGTGTGTGTGTTTGTGTGTGTGTGTGTGCGTGTGCGTGTGCGCGCGCAATGTCTGCGAGCGTGTGCGTGCGTGTCTGTCGGCAAAGTGTCGCCGCCCAGTCTGGGTGCCGCCCCGAGCGACCCACATCGGCGGCGCTGGCCGAAGGCATTGCAATATGCATCCAAGAAGGCCCAAGAAACCCCCAAGAGGGCCCGAAGTCGGCCCAACAGGGTCCAGATATCGCCCACGGCCCCGAGACGGACGTGGAGCGCTCCAAGAGGGGGGGCACCAGCGCGGCCTACAGAGGTCCCCAACGCGGCCCTCATAGGCGCCAGACGGGCCACGAGCCCACTGGGACGGCCCAGGAGGCCCCCAAAAGGCCACCAAGAGGCCACCGACAAGTTTTCAGGGAGCTCCCAGGAGGCCCCAAGAAGGCCCCAAGAAACCTTCGCCTCCTCACCTCCATTCTCTCCATCTCCCCCCTGCCGCGCGGGCGATGGAGAGATCGGAGACGCGACTCGCCTCGATGCAAAATGCTCGTCAAAATTGTGCAATCCCCGTCATCGACGCTTTCGACGCGCTGTTGCACTAGCGCGGTGGCGGGGCTTGTCGCGGGAAGCTGGACACTTGCACATCCTGCACAGGGCCCCCCCCCCCCCCCCCCCGAAAATCCCTGAACCAATTTTTCAGAGGCCCCCCCCCGCCCCGCGGCGCCTTTCGGGCGCCGGCCCCCCTGGCCTCCCCAACCAGCCGCCCGCGTTCTTCAAGATCCCGCGGGCGCCCCAGAACCCTCGCAGCGACTCCCACGATGGACCAGGCGCCCGATATACATCCCAAAGGGGCCCCGACAGCCTGCCCCAGAGGGCTTCGGGAAGGAAAAAATCATGAATGTCCATGATCTGGTTTAAATATTTTGGGACCCCTCGCCCGCCCAAGCTCCCCGCGCCCCAAGAAATTGCCCAGGGGGCCGCCAAGAGACCCCCGAGACGACGGAAGAGGCCCCCAAGAGGGCCCCAAGACTGCCTAAGAGGGCCCCCGGACCGCCCACGAGGCGCCCAAGACAGCCCACGCGGGCCCAGTCGCCGTCCTCCTTGCCGTTCCCGACCTCGTGGCGGCCGCAGTCCAGGATCGCGCCTGGGCGACGTCGTAAGAGTGGGAGCACGAACAGACAACTCGGCAGCCACGGCCCCGTGGATGGCCGCCAGGCGGCGCAGCGAGCGGAGCTGTGGGCCGCCACGCGCGCGCGCAGCCCAGCCTGGGCGCTTCTGGAGGTCGCCGCAGACTCGCGATTCGCCGCGCGCGGGGTGGCCGCGTTGCGCGGCGGTGCGAACCCGATGAATTGGCAACGTGCCTATCTGTGGGAGGCGATCGCAACGCGCTGCCGCTCTGGGCAGTTGCGGGCACGCCGGGCGAAGGCCCACGTGACCCTTGCGGAGGCTGCCGAACGGGGCATCTCGGAGGATGACTGGGCCAGGAACGATGCGGCGAACACGCAGGCTGGCGCTGGCGCGAAAACCCAACTCCCGCCGACGGCTTTTCTCCAGCAGCGCACGCTGCAGCTGGAGGCGCTCGAGGCGGTCCAACGCCCGGCGGCCGCCGTGGAGTTGGCCGCCCTGATGGCAAACCACGGCAGCGCGGGCCCAGGCTGCCCCGGGCGCGGCTACGCTGTGCGGCGTTGGGGCACCGCCGCATGCGAGTGGCGCGGGTGGGGGATGCGGCGGCGGTCGCCGCCGCTGTGGCGCCGCTGGCAAGGTCGCGGCCTGGGCAGCCAGCAGGCGTCGCGCCCCCCGCGCGCCCCATGGGCGGCGGCCGCGGCGAGTCGCGTGGCAGCCGCATGTGGCCGCGCAGGGCCCCGCGTTGGTTGCGTGCTTGAGGTGCGGCTCGCAAGCTGGCCGCGCGGCGGCTGGGCCCTAGCGCTGCAGCCGCGGGCCGCCATGCTGCAGCCGCGGGCCGCCATGCTGCTGCTGCTGCTGCTGCTGCTGCTGTTGCTGCTGCTGCTGCTGCTGCTGCTGCTGCCGGCGGAACGCGCTGGCGGCCGCGAGGCCGAATGGCGGACGACCCTGCGCTCTCGCCAGCAGGAGCGGCCGGGGGCCCCTGACTGAGAGTTAACAGGCTCGCCCCAGAGCCGCTCCAGGAGCGGCGGCGCGACCGTCCTGTTTTCCCCATTCCCGCGTTCCCGTCCTCTCGTTGCCTCTCGTTGCCGCCGGGCTCCTTCGCGATGGTAAAGAAAGTAGCGGGCCAGCTCGCCCGATGTCAGATGGTCGATCACCGCGCGCATGGGCAACGGGGGCCGACGATCGCGCGGGCGCGGCCGTGAACCACAGTTCATACCACTGCAGAGATCGAGTGTGATTCTCGGTGGCGCGAGCTGCAGGCTGCGACATGCGCTTAGCTTCAAGTCGACCCGACGGTTGCGCGCACCATGCGGGGATATGGCGATGGGCCGAGCTGCAGCTCGCCCCCAAATACCTTCATTTTTAGATTGAAAGCGTCATCGTCTATAACTCTCGTTCCCCCATGCTTTCCTCCCCCCGTTCCTTCATCCTTTCCTCCGCAATTGTGATCCGCCCGAAGAAACTCAAACCGCTGCCCCACAAACATTACCTGATTACGTTTGTCACCATCATAAATAACGCCGCGCGTGCAACTCATTTTCCCTGTTTTACAATAGAACAACCTATGTGAAGTACCATCAAAATCGGATCGGCACTGCTACGTGAACGTGCGCCTATACGTTCATAGCAGAGAAGAGGAACGATACAACGTCAAAGTTGTGAACAGTATGAAAGATACACTGTCAACGCGCTTTCATACTAAATGTACCGAAGCGTGATAGTGACACACTCTTCGTGCACCAACCTGACAGCAGACAAGGCATAATGAATGTACAGTGTGTGGCCTAATAGTAGAATTATGTAGATACGATGCAATGTGGAGGTTGCGAGCACGATACTCAGAACCCAAAAGAAACGTAACTTATACAATACAAATCGACATCCGCGCATACCATACTATACGCGTGTTAAAACTGGATGAGGACAATTTGGGCGATCCTGCACTATGTTGCGTTATACTGAAGGGTGCCGAACTATTCGAACGTATGGTACATTATGGTAATGCTATATGCTTGTTTGTTGTGCATGGTTGAGAAACTAGTTTAATTTGCGTTAGCATGTGCTCGGATACACAAATCAGCTGAACGTAAGCTAGCACGTTTAAGCTCGTTTAATCTTGGTCGTGGCCCGCAGACAATGGCTTACAGCGGTTTAGCTGACAAGCTAACTACGCTGGGCCGTCTGTTCAAGTAAATAAGTTTCCCCTGCCTGCAGATACGTACCGCGCCAAACGGGTGTGCAAATCAAAGCAGTTCTCTGACCGCCCAGGGAAGAGGGCGTGGGGTCCAGCGCCAGCCCAAGATGTCCGCGCGGATCTCCCAAATTGTATTATGTTAGCGCAAGTGTTTGCCATTGTAGCACCTGCCGTGCCGGAGTATCTGCCAGAAGAGGCTCTGCGCCGAAGTGGGATCCACGCACGTCCTCTCCACCAGCGCGCGGAACTGCGGCCAGGTCATCTCCTTCTCCCCACCAGTGCCCTCAGCAAACGCCTCGCGGAGGCCGCCGAAGCGGACCTTGAGGCGCTGGCGCAGCGAGGAGAGCTCGGCCACGGGCCTGCTCCAGCGGAGGGCCCTCACGAAGTCCACACTGCTGATGTGCGGCTCCCCCGCAACCTCGCGCCCGGCGCTACCCGAGCGCAGCGCCACGATAAACGGGAACATGGCCCCAGCCGCCTCGCGGCCAAACCCAACTACCTCGCAGAGGCGCTCGAACGACGGGCGCGTCAGGACGCCCTCGGCGTGGGCAAACAACTGATACGCCTTTCCCAGGCCGCCGAAAGCGCTCAGCAGCTTGGCCCGCAGTCCTAAGGGGGAGCAGTACGTAGGCGCGAACCGGCTCAGGGTCCAAGGCCGCGCAAACGGCGATGTTGGTTAACGGCGATGTTGGGAATCTGGTTTTTGTGACATCGAGCTCGCGCAGAAAAAAATTTAGGAAAGCACGAAGCACACTTTCCTACAGTTCAAATTTGCGAATGTATCGAACGAAAGCAGCGCAGCGAATTGTAGGAAAGCGCGAACAACGATGTCCTACAATTGGTCTGGCCACGAACCAATCCCACCTACGATGCCGAAGCCTACATCGCCGTTGCCTGCATCGCCGTTAGCGCGTCTACGGAAGGTGAAGCATCGACCTGCTTCCTTCTTCTCCTCTTCCCCCTTCTTCTCAGCGTCGTCCTCCTCGTCCTCCTCGTCCTCAGCGTCGTCCTCCTCGTCCTCCTCCTCCTCCTCCTCCTCCTCTTCCTCCTCTCCTCCTCATCCTCCTCCTCCTCCTCCTCCTCATGCTCCTCCTCCTCCTCCTCCTCCTCCTCCTCCTCCTCCTCCTCCTCCTCAGGAGTCGGCGATACACTGCAGACAGATTGGGGATGGGTCCCAGCTGGCGAAGCCGCAAGCTCACGGGGCGGGGTGAGCCCATTGGGACCCGTCGGCGCTCCGTGGGCGATTGGCAGATGCGCTCCCCCCGGAGTCCAGTGAACGTCTTTTTCTTCGGCGCTTCGACATTGGGCGGAAGCGGGGGGCGGGGAAGGAGGGGGGGGGGGTCTGGCTCCAGACCTCTGCTTGGCGCGACTGTTTGCGGCAGTGCGTCCTGTGGGGGAGGGACTCCACCTGCTCGAAACAGGCGCCAAAAACAACCAGGATCCACTCCAGGGAGGGGGGGGTGCGAGGGCCCGCGCCGATCGGCAAAACATGCAAGACAACAAAAATTGTCACCTATTCCCCCGAACGTGACCCCTTGGCTTTGCTAGCTCGGCTTTTCGGCGGACGTTCGGGACGATCCGAGCACCCCTGGAGCGCTCTCGGCGAGGCGCAGCTGCTGGAGAGCACCCCCAGGCTGGAAAACCGCCGACATCCAACGAACACGCCCGAAAGCGTCGAACCTCGAACCTCGACCCCCCTGAGCCCCCACCCCCCTTGGGTTCAGGTCGGGCATGTCCTCCTCCAGGCTGACCTCGCAAGAAAAAATATAGAAAAGAACAGCAACGTGACGATCAAACATAGTCAGAAATAGTCGGGAAATCGTCACCGCACTATCTTTCTGACTCTTCTGGAATACCCCTCCCGTAGAGGGACATGCCCGACTCGGCCCTGGGCGCTGCCCCTGCAGTCCCTGCAGCAGCCGAGGCAGCGGGTCCGCGGCCTCCGGCACGGGGGGAGGCGGGCCCCGAGGGAAGCGGGCCCCGAGGGTGCGCTGGGCTCCCTACAGGCTGCTTGAACCCGCTGCTTGCTGCACCGTTGTAGAGGGAGAGAGGCCCTCTCTGCAGCTGCAGAGCTCACCGCCCTTTGCAGTCGTGGGGAAACGGGCCCTGGGCCTGAGGGCCTACCCCCAAGGAGCACAAACAACACAAAACACACACACACACGCAAAAAAAAACACACACACACAGTGTGTGTGTGTGTGTGTGTGTGTGTGTGTGTGTGTGTGTGTGTGTGTGTGTGTGTGTGTGTGTGTGTGTGTGTGTTTTCGAGCGACGATCAGCAACGGGTCTTGCGCCAGATGGCGCAGCGACCTCACGCGGCGGCCTGCGCGGGTCGCTTGCGCGGCAGGCTGTGTTGGGGACGAGGGCGCCTGCGCGCGACCTTACGCGGGCAGCTTACGTGCCATGATCGGCGCAGGCGGCCCCGTTTTTTTTTTTGTCTTTTGCGTCGCTCACTTGTTCGTCCTGAGCCGTCCTCTGACAGTCCTGGGGCCTGTGGAGGGCCTCGATCGCCCGCAAACGGCGTACAACCTCTGGGCCCCTTTCCCTCAGGACCCCTGGGAGGCAGATACTGAAAGGTCTTCGTCAGAAGGATTCAGGAGGACAGAGCCCTAATGGGGGGGGCTGTCACGCTGGATTCGGCCGCGAAACAATCCGGATTGAGCCGGATGGAACGGGATTGAGCTGGATAAATCGGGATTAAGCCGGATTAAACGGGATCTAACCGGATTCAGCCGGATGTCGGATCAGGGTGCTATCAAAATTTGACCTCCCAGGAGTTGCATCCGAAGGCCCGTTCCATCATGGCGAAGCCTGTCCGCGGGACACTTGCCCTCTGGGGGCGCCAGCCGCGCCGCCGCTGCCGGTCGCGCCCTGCCCCCGGCGGCCCGCCTGGCCCTAGCGGGATGCAAGCAGGAGTGACCCTGGGCTCATGGTATTCCAACCGAATGTAGCCTTGATGGCCAGGAAAAAATCGAGCACCAGGGAAGTACCGAAACTGGAAAGTTTGCGGTGTCGGGCTTTGGGAGGCGATACTCGTTCGACAGTTTGCCTGCGTGTCGGACAGACACGGTTTCGATATTTTTCTGGGTGTTCGGAATTGTTTGTGAGGTGTGCTCCTTAAGTACGATGGGAACAACATAAATCTGGGCAAGAATTCGGGGACGCATTGGCGGGTCGGTGCAACCCTGGCCCTGCAGGACCCTGCGCGCTGGCCCGGGCCAGTGCAGCCCTGGCCTTGCAGGATCCTGCAAGATCCGGCGCTGTGGCCGACCCCCGCTTGCACTGACCCCCGTCTCCAGGCTCCGGAAGAATGACGTTTGGTGCGCGACTTCCCGCAGGGTGCGGGGAGGCCGAACCAGAACGCGCAAGCCGCTGCGATCGCATCGCGCTCGGCCATCTGGGGCCCCCCCGTGGGCCAGCGACAAAGGTCACTCCAGCGAAGGGTCACTCTTACGTGGCGGTACTCAAAAACCTTGAACCCCACACACTTGTCATCTCTTGGAAGGCAACTTCTTCTGCCGGCGGAGGCGGCCTCGTTTTACTTCCGCCGACTGCCGCTGGGCGAGGCGGAGGAGGATAGGGAGGGGGAACGGAAGGGGGGGGAGGAAGAGGAGGCGGAGGAGGAGGAGGAGGAGGAGGATTACGGGGCTACGGGAATACAGCCACTGCATTGTGGCAGGCAATAACAAAAAGACTTACGCGCACATTGACACAGCCTGCACAAAAGGAAACAGAGGAGCGCACGCAGGCGGCACGTGGCGCGACGACAGACTGCGCGCGAGCTCTCCACGAAACGACCCCAAATTGGTTGCCGCCCCATGCCACCCACAGGCGCGGTCGCCACAGGCGGCCTCCACAAAACGAGCCCATGAGGAGGAGGAGGAGGAGGAGGAGGAGGAGGAGGAGGAGGAGGAGGAGGAGGAGGAGGAGGAGGAGGAGGAGGAGGAGGAGGGGAGAGAAGAAGAGAATCGCCTGCAGCCACAAGCCACTGTGCCGTCACGGGGGTCTTCAGCCCACCACAGCAGCAAAACTACTAGACCCACTCCAGCTCACAGGACCGGCTCGCTCGCCACCGACCGCACATTTCCGAGCTGCGTCCGCCCCAGGGCTGAGATAACGACACCACTGTGCCGCCCCAAGCCACCCGAGGAGCGCCACTCCCCTCGGGCGACGCTGCACCGCCACGCACGCATGTGCGGGGCACCCTGGTCGTGGGAGGGATGGGCGCGAGATGCCCCGATGGGCTCCGCGCAGGTGGCCCGCGACGCCGCCCGAGTCCAGGCGGGGTCCGCAAGGGTGCCGCAGACGTGGCGACGATGGAGCAATTTTCTCCCCCCCAAGCCCCCAAGGGGCAAACTGGGGTGACGAACGGGCTGTAACCCGCCTGTTTTCCTGGGAAGGGGACCCAGTGGCACAGGTGCCAGGAGGAGGAGGAGAAGGAGGAGGAGGAGGAAGAGGAGGAGGAGGAGGACGATGAAGAAAAGGAGGAGGAGGAGGAGGAGGAAGAGGAGGAGGATGGGGAGGAGGCGGAGGCGGAGGCGGAGGCGGAGGAGGAGGAGGAGGAGGAGGAGGAGGAGGAGGAGGAGGAGGCGGAGCGTGCGCGGAGAAGTTCGTCAAAAGACAGGTGGACTAACTAATGCTACTAATACTGCTGCTACTGCGGGAAGAGACCTGCACGCTACCACAGAATTCCATGCCCGCGACAGCCTGGGAGATACAAGCTGTGAGACGGCAGAGGGGCCCTCGGAGCCCTGGGGGCCCGCGGGGGGAGAACGGTGCAGGACGGAAGGTAATGAGACAAGCGATCGGGGGCCCCGTGGCAGCCGAAGACGCGCCCCCGCGCCGCAGCCTCGAACCCGTGGCCCAGCCGCCGGGGGCAAGGAACGGAGGACAATGAGCGACCGCGACTTGGGAATCTCCGCGGGAGCGTTGCAACTCGAGCGCCGCTCGACGGGCGAAACTGCCGGGCGGTAATGGAAGTGCCTGCACACCCCATTTTCACAGTGAGAGGCTCGAGGGACGGGCCGAACACTCGGGAAAGGAAGATCTCGGCGAAGCAACTCTGCCACTTCGGTCTCCGTGCCTCGCGCGCCACCGCAGGCGGGTCACGGAACTGAGCAGGGGGCCTCTGAGCCCGCAGATCGGAGACGCGCATCTGTTGGGCTTCACAAGGAGGCTTGCTCGAGAGTGAAGGCGGTAGCAGGCGAGGGCCAGAAGGGGGGGCGGGGCGACTCTTGGGATTTCCACCAGCCAAGCGCGCCAGGAGTACGCATGGACGATTCGCGGAGACGATGCAGCACGCGCTGCCAAGTTGCGCACGTCGTGGGAGCTGGTCGCATGAGAGCAGCAACGGCGATGGGCAGCAGTGAAGCAGGTTGCGGCACATTCCACTCGGCTAACTAAAACCAGCCACATCTCCGCAACATCGCGAGGGGGGCGCGAAAGAGCCTCGAGAGCAGCCTACGTCCAATCATCGAGCGCTGCCGAGAAAAAGAGAACAACTGCATTTTGCAGGAGGGCGCACTCTGAGCGCGTTCGTTTTACAATGCGACAGAAATCTGCGCGCGGAGCGCCCCGCGCGCCCGCAGCTGACGCCCGCCCGAGAGCCTTGGCCAGCGGGGCCAACCTTTCATCGGCGAGTGTCGCGTCGCGTCAGGGCCGAGGAAGCAGCCTAAGTGCGGCGTTTTACCCGCGAGCGTGAATCCGCGCCACTCCGAATGAATACGGTTAGATTTAGGTCGGGCATGTCCTCCTGCAGGCGGGTTTTAGACGGACAAGAAAACGTGACCAAACCTAGTTACAACGCGTCGCGCCCAGACGCCATTCCGAACCAGCACTGGTTAGATGCCTCTGCAGGGCTCGACCGCGGCCCCCCACGCCGGGGCCCGCTGCTGGACGGCAGCGCCCTCCTGAACGTTCAAGGCCAGGGCACCCGGGGACTTCGCCGGGCGGGAAGCGCGACCAGGGCGCGCCATCCTCTTTGAAGGGGCCCCAGGACACACAAATAAATACACAGAAATAAAAAGATCCCCCATATTTCCAATATTATTTGGTTTTTGTCTCCCCCCCCCCACTTCCCATATTTTTGCACATTTTCCTGGGCGTCGACAATTAATTGTGTCTGCGTGTTTCTTTCCCTCCTGACTCTAAGAACCCCAGGCGACCACCCCGACGTCGCCCGCGCAAGCCCTCGCGAGGCCACGGCGGGGGCGAGAGAGAGAGAGAGAGAGAGAGAGGTGGAGCTCGAGGTCGCGGAGGGATGGGGGGCTGACAGGACACATGAAAAGAGTGCCATCTAGGGGGCAGCCCCGCAGCGCGCCTGACTTCACCCGAGGCGCGACTGGCATCCCATCGCCAATCACATCGCCAATCACTGCGCAGCAAGGATTCGCGCGATAAGAGGCCCCCACAGCATGCTTAAATTCTCGAGGGGCGGGGTTTTATCAATGGCGATCTCCATCCGGCCTCGGGGCGCCGAGGGGAAGGCCCCGCAGACATTGAAAGCGAGGAGGGAGGGGGCGCGGAATGGATCGCCAAAAGTCTTCGACGCTAGCCCCGCGAACGAGCGCGCCGAGGTCCATTGCGTGAACCGGGAAGTTCCGCCCCGGGATGAACCCCCTCTGAGACGGAGCCGCCGGGGCCTGCGAAGCTTTCGTCGCCGCCCGATTCAAGACGCCAGCCGCAATGGCGCGGCTAGTGTTCTTCAGCCCGAACGGACGCGCAGGTGGGGTCTTCCTTATCAAGGCCTCAATTTGATCATCCTGACCAGGGGCAGGCTTCGGGATAAGCACCTGGGTCGCCGCGCAAAGCTCCAGCGAAACGCGTTGCCCGAGAAGGCCCAAACCAACGTTTCGCGCGGGATCTCAGCCCCGCGCCCGCGCTTCCAGCGCGAGAACGGGAGCCCGTCAGGCCCGGGGGCGGAATCCAGGGCCCGACCCAAGAAAGTGACAACACTGCGACGAGACGAAGGAGGCAAGTCCCGAGAGTCCAACGCACCGCCCGCGAACTTTCGGGCGCAGGTTGAAGCGCCATTCGGGGGGGGGCCTCGAAGTCCCAGATGTCTGGGCACCATTCGAAGCATCCGCGACCTGCTCAGAAGACGCAGCCACGACCCCGCGACCGCGCGACTTCAACTTGACGACGCCCGCAGGATACGCACGTCTGCCGAACGAGGATCAGAGGCGAGCACGGCGGGCAGCAGCGCCCTTACGCTTCAAGATCCGCGCCCTCTTTCGTTGGCGGCCTGATCGTCCAAGTGCCCCTTGCAACGTTGACGCCCCCGCTGTGGAAGATGAGAGTGGAGGTCGCGGGCGGCGGGGGATCGAGGAGACGGACGACGAGCCCCTGCGCGAACAACACCTGCCCCACCCAATCGCGCCGCGCCACATGCGAACCGCCATCGCCCGCGACGGGGGCGCGCGCGGGGCAGCGGAGAGCTGGAGATTTCGGACCGCGCGGGGCGCCACTTGCTCACGCATGTGCCCCAGCGCGGCGCCTCGAGGGCATCGCATTTCGAGAAGTCGAGGAGCCGCTCGCATTGATCAATGAGGGAGGGGAAGAGAGGGCCAGCCACCGCCTGCCGAGGGAGAGGACGAGGACGACGACAGTCAGATTCATCACGGCGGCTCATGATTCGCAGAATGATCGGGGAGTGGTCGGATATCGCCAGTCAAAAGTTCTTGGGGCTCACGAGCGCAAGAGGCCTGCAGGAAATTCTTACAAGGGATCCAAGGGGTCGACCGCCGATTCCGAGGAGGTCGCAGGGTGCCAGGGGGCGGGGCCGCCAGGAGAGAGCTCAGTTAGTTGGCGCCAGGTGCGTTCCCACATTCTGTCGCCCGCGCGAGACTGCCACTTTGAGCCGATGTCGATATTGGAGCCTCCTGCGAGAATGGAGCCAAACCAACAAAAGATACCCTCGCGTCGCGTTCCACATCGCATAGAGCTTGCGTGGCAGGTGGAAAGCCGACTCCAGAGCGACGCGCAGTTGTCGGCAGGCACGGTCTCCGGCGATATGGGAAAAACCTCGTCTGCCCGGGCCCGCGCAGATTGGAATCCGAAGACCAGCGATCGCATCCACCGCGAAGCCCCGCCAACGCCGAGGCCCGAGACGGAGGGCCGCTTGTAGATGCCGAAGCCGACCCTGCACAGTGGCAGAGTGAGGTCCCAGCACGCGAAAGACGGACTGCTTGCCCAGCTGCGGCCCCTCGAGGCGGCATTCAGAATCCAGGGGGCATCCCGCGTCCTGGAGCCAAACCGCCAGAGCAGCCTCAATATGAAGGAGTGCAGCTACTTCCTTAGCATTGACCGCGAAGAACGCTAAGTCCTCGGAGCGACCCCCACTCCTCCGCGCGCGCAGGCGGTTCGCCAGGGGGTTGAGCCTTCGCCAAAATCCAGCTCCGACTCAAGTGCGACAAGACGACGGCCCATCTCCACCTGCAGAGACGAAACAGCATCAGTTTTCGACTCAGCACACTGAATACGAGTGGCCAGATCCTCGAAGCGCTGGAGACCGCTCATCGAATTGCTGGAACAACAGGCCGGTGGCCGCCGTGAAAACCGACGGCGAAGTTGCGTGCGTAGAAGCCAAGCAGATGCGAGATATCTCGGCCATGCAGGACGAGTGGAAGTCCTTGAAGGCAGAGTCGTAGACAGCCTTGAGCTCCTTCCGCACAGTCGAGGCCGCAGGTGGATCCATTGAGGAACCAGACGGGCCCGAAGCCGCAGCGGCACCAGGAACAGAAGCGCCCAGTGCATCAGCAGGCCAATTGCGCCCAAGATCCGCCACGTCACGGCGAAGAGCTGCGCTAGTACGCCCAGGCGGGGCAGGCCACGGCCACGGGGCCACAGGCGCCATCGAAGCGCCACGGGGTGCACCACCGCCAGGGGGCAGTCCAGGATCGGCGAATTCCCGCGACGGGAACGCGGGGGCCTCAAGCCCGACGTCCGCCAGGGCTGCGTCGGCCGCTGCCGCAGGGGGGGGCCCTCGGGGCCAGGCGACGAGGCCGCCGCGTTCGCGCCGAGACCGCTGCGAGCCACGTCCGGGCGCTCCAGCCTGCGATGCGCCATCTCGCCACGCACGGCTGCCAGCGGCGCGAGCAGCAGCGCGGGGCCTCGGGGCGGTGGGAGGCGTCGTGCCCACAGAGAGCTCAGACATCCCGTCAGCAGACAGAAGAGAAGGGGCCCGCTCGCAAGCATGGCGAAGAAGGGTGACCGCCTCTCTCTTGGACGGCCTCTTGACCTTCGTTTCCTGTTTATCCCTTTCGCCATCGTCCTTAGTCATGAGACCGATGGAGAATCGAACGCCGTGTCTCTGAGCACAGGCCAGCGCGGGAACTGAAAATCCCGCAGTTTACGCGCGTGGCCTCGGACTAGAGGCGCCCACTCTCTGCACAAGGGACAAAAGCATCTTGAGGCAAAATGGCTGCGGAGGGAGGGGGAAAAGGTGGAGGAGGAGGCGGAGGAGGAGGAGGAGGATACGGCACTGCCAAGGGAAGCGTCGCGCGGCGCACGAACGCCCACCTAGGGTGCCAAGCTGCTAGCAGCCTGGCCGGCCTGCGAAAAAGGCTGGGAACCCACCGAAAGGATCACGGGCGCCAGCCACACAGACAGAAGAAAGAGGCGGGAGACTATGCCCCGTCACTTGGGTGAGGAGGTGGGCTCCCATGGAGCCTGACCCAATGGGTTTCAGGGTCCGAACCGAGATGTGGACGAGGCGCGGGGACTCTACGAGAGCCTGCTGCCCCCTCGTCCGCGGGATGAAAACCCTGCATGAATAAACGTCGGTTACGCACCGCCCGCTCGGACAGACGGTGGGCGCCCCCTGACGGACAATCAACAAGAAGGTGACCAGCCGTGCCCGTAGTGAAGGCACCACAGGAGACGCACAAACAAACGTGGCCCGAGGAGACCCAGAGACGATGGCCGCGGGCGGCCGTGGCAGGGACAGGGCCCGTTCCAGGCATGGGCTCTGCTGGTGCCGTAGTGTCGGCCAAAGAAGGCCGACTTGGGCGCTTGGATCCGATCCGCCTCCGCTTGTCAGGGAGGATGGCAGGTCCCGAGCGCTCAGGAAGAGGGTGAACCATGGCAGCGGCGTCTGCCTGGACACTCGCGGCTCCATCCCAAACCAGAGCAACGGGCTCGAAGCGCACGCGTGGCCTGACGTGTCGTTCAAATCCAGGGGGGGGGGGGGGCTGCGAGGGCGAGGCGAGGAAGGGCTACCCAGGCCCGAGGAAAGTGGGGGAGCCTCAGCCTCCCCTTGGACACGCTCACGGCCGCGCGTGGGGGGCCCCGTCCGAGGGCGCGCCGAGCGAGACGAGTCCGAGGGGGAGCGAGGCCGCGCCGCAGCACCGAGCTGCTGCCCCCATCCGTCGGCATCTGCCCTCCATTGTCGGCCTGGGCGCGCGCAGCGTCACCAGGGAAATTGGCGGTGGAGGAGCGCCGAGGGATGCCGACAGCAGCGCGCAAACGAGCAGGGCAATCAAGCAAAGAGAGACGACGACGGGTCCGCTCCAGCCTCGAGCCTTTCCTGCAAAACTCACACCTCCATATACTACGATGGGGGACCTGGGAGAAAACATTGCGCAAGTGCACCTAGGCCTCCTTGGGCTCCGAGGGAGCCGTGGCGCGCCGAGGGCGCCGACAGGCTTTCCTGCGCGGTCGGGCGTCGACACGCTGCTCGCCAAAGAAGAGCCCAAGAGCGGTCGTGCCCCATCGTGGGAGGCGAGTGTAGTACTGATGGCCTAGCTGCATAGCTTTGACCTGAGCTTTGGGGATGGAGTGGAGGCCCCTGCCGTTGCGCGCAGCAAAGTCAGCCCACCGATTGCCACGGGCATCGGCGCTCTGACCCTGCTGGTGTCCTTTAACAAGGGCAACTCGAACATCAGACCCCGCCTCGCCCAGGTCGGAAATCTTGGTCCATATGCGCCCCCACAGGTCGACGTTTAAACGCCGAGGCGCGCAGCGCCAGCGGGCTCCAAGGGCAAGGCCATCGACCAAGCCTTCGAAGTCAGCGTGCACGCAAACAGGGGGAAGGCAAACCTGGAGAACCTGAAGGAAAGCGTAAAGCTCGGCCCTGGGCGAGGACTGCACGGGGCCTGGGAGAGCTCCATAAACAAGAATGTCTAGCCCAGGCGGCGGCTCACTCAATTGACAGAAACCCCATCCCGCTCGTGTGGCATCAGGCCAATGCCACATACGCTGGCACGCCCCATCCGTGTAAATGTTGCCAGTGATACCTTGCGGGTCACCGTATTGGATGTGCCAGTGCCCAGTGCAGTCCCGTGGTGGTAAAGGAGGGGAGCAAGAACGAGAGACGAGTCCTGACGACCACAGCATGGAGTCACGTGCTTGCGTGGGAAACCCATCCGTGCCGATATGAGACATGTACTGCTGGCGATGTGCATCAAGGGAAGAGCACGCATGTACACTATGATACAGATGACATGACGCCGCCCCACATCGTGGACATGAGTCGGTATCCCTGTAGTAACACTTCGCAAGCCGTGGCGGGCTCCAAAGACCACCTCCCATATACGCCCGCAGAAGACCTGCTTCCTTGAGGGAGGGCTTCCATTTAGTGGCAAAGGGGCTGGGACCTACAGGCGCTATGATCGGACGCCCATCCTCATCATGATCGCCGGGCTCGCCCTCAGACCCCGGGTCGTCGTCTTCAAGTATGTCGACCTGGGAGAGGATCTGCAAGATTGGTTCGATCCAATAGCCAATGGGTTCCCGATGGGATAGGATCATGCCCTGGAAGCGGCGACCGCTGGGCCCACTTCTCCCAGAGGCGCCGGGCCCCTGCATCTCTGGCAAGCTGACGGATGGTGGACGGTGCCTCATCTCGGACATTGATTCTGACCCCTTGACCAGTCCTCCAAATGGTGCTGCTAACGGTGGCCCATCCTAGCTCCCGTAATGCAAGCACTGTAGCGCCAGCGGGGCCCGACACATGCCGCCACGGGTGCGGGGAGTGGTAGATCTTCTGGATCTGGCGAAGCCTTGCTGATTGCAAGATACGGCGGGGCACCTGCGGGTCGCGATAAAGGGGAGACCACTGATACAGCGGCGCGGCCCAGGCCTCCACCTGGGGGTCAGTGTATGCCGACCCCTGCAAGCATGACGTGAGCCAGCACGATGTGCTGGAGCCTGGGGCGTGCCACACACCTCGCTGAGCCGTTCGCATTTGTTCCACGAGTCGAGGGGGGCTCCGTGGACGCCTAGACCATAGGTCAAGGCTGGTGGGAGCGCCTGCTTATGGAATCGGCTGAGGAGGGGACCAGCTCTGCGTAGGGAGACGAAGCGTGGGCGACGGCTGGCAACACCCCTCACACGTTGTCGCAGCCTCCTGTAGCGTACAGGGCGACCCGAGACTTCGATCCCAAGAACTTCCAACGCCTCCTCGTCGACATACCCAAGGTCCCGGAGCTGGTGCGCCACATGCTTGCCCAGCGCAGGGATGGAGCTAGTGAGCCTCATCTTGTGGACAGCTGGAAGTAGTCCTAGAGCCTCGAGTACTTGCACCAAAAGCCGTAGAACCCGCTGGGACCGTGAGCCGATGTGTCGTAGCATGCCATATCTGTGAATCGTAATGTCATCCGCATACACGTCGTGGCTACGTGGGATGGCCATAGTGCTGTGCGTGCGGTGATCGAAGGGAGCAAGCATGATGCACTGAAGCGCAAGCATAGCCATCGCACATCCTGGCAACACACCAAACTGCGCATATACAACATCCGAGTAGCAGTTGTCCCACGCCAGACGTCGGCTACACATGTAGATCCAAAAGGCGAGGAGGAGCATGGAGCCTGGGAAGCCTTGCTGGATACCCGCGCGCAACAGCAACAGCCAGGGTACTTTATCAAAGCACTTCGCTAGGTCGACGATCTCGTGCACGGATGCATGAGATTCAAGCTGCAAGTGCCCACCTGCCTCCGCTGTGACCATCACACGAGCTGCAACATCCGTCGTAGATCTCTGTGAGCCAAGCGCGAGGCATGGGCGATCTAAGCGCGGCGCCCAGGCCCTCACCCAGGCAAGTCGGGCATGGGCCCACACACGATAGATAGATGACAGCAGCGCAATAGGTCGATACCCGCCTGTCGGTTTGCCCAGTAGGATAATGTGTACATGTCTAACAACCGTGGGCCATGTCCCAAAGACCTCACAGAGATGTAGTAGGTATCCCAAGACAGCCAGGGCCCCATTGGAGGCCAACGACCAGTGACGAGGTCTGAACTGATCTGGCCCTAGGGCCGTGCGTCCCGAGAAACTCTGCGCAGCTTGCCGAAGAGCAGCAATGCTCAGGTGAGGCATACGCGGACCAGCCTGACACAGGCCGCGCATCTCAGCCATGAGGTCACCATCGCCATCAGCATGAACGCTCTGGGTGAGGAGGGGGGGGGGGGGGGGGTTCGTCGTCACATCCATCCGACACGTCCTTCTATGACTGTCGCTGGACCATACATATGTCCTCGGAATCACTAGATGGACCCAACGTGGTATCAACCTGGGAGATCGTCCATCCACGGGGTTTGGACCAACGGTGTATGGGACCTGATCGCTGTCGCAAGTGCTGTCGGATCCATTTTGTGAACGAGCGTGCCCGAGCGGTAGCCATCCTCCTTTCTATGGCAGCAGCAGCCCGTCCGAGATAGGGCGTCGTGAGCATGGGCAGATGGGGCTGCAATGCGGGCTGCTGGGCGGCTGCGCGAAGTAAAACGGAGAGAACGGTTGTGACAGGTGGGGGGATATGCTTCCTCATCCTGCCCTCCTTCCCTTCCTGAGCGAGGAAGGAGTAAAGATGAGCCCATGCCCCATGCCTGAGCGACCTGATGGGGTCGCCGCGCCTGGGCCAGCTGAACTTCGCTGACGCGCATCTGTAGTAGGCGTAGAGCACGTGCCTCAGCGGAGGCTGCAGGCTGGTGCCGAGCCAGGGCGCCCCCTGCCGTGGTGCGCCTGTACCTCGGCGCTGCACCTCGTCCTGCGCGCCTCAAATCATTGGGCGGCAGGCTAAATAATGGGGGCAACTCCGCCTCCACTCCACGATGCAGGTGTGTGTGCAGATATTGTCCAAACGTGTGGGGTGGTCGTCACAAGGCCCCAACCGATGTTGAGAGTCGCCCCGCATGAGTTCAACCCAAGATAACCCAAGATCCCCACGCTTGACTGTGCACTGTGTCCATCAACGTCCTCCAAATCCTTACGCAAAGATGCCGTGGGTTGGTGTGGGAACGGCTTGTGTCCCCCGAGTATTCGAAGGGATTGTGCTTGAGCCTGCGGCCCCCGCGAGGCCTCCACGACATAATGATTTCGCGGCGGGAGCTGCGAGGCCCGAGAGGGCTGAGATAGAACGCTGGCAAGGCAGTCGCTAAGAACGAAATAGTCCAGATCCGAGACGTTCCCCGTGGCAGGATCCCGATACGCGCCGCTGGACGCACCCAGCACACGAGCCCGAAGACGCATGGGCCACTCGGAGCCGCCCAGAACGGAGGGGGACATGTTCCAGTCCCCGCCCAAAAGAAAGGGGAGCCCAACGTGTGACAAGAGCGCCCCGAGATCTTCCAGGATCTGTGCATTGCGTCCAGCCAGGCGAAGCCCTCGTTCGAGGTAAACGGATGCAGCAACAAAGCCGTGCCTCAGCCCGCCCTGAATCATGACCGCAACAACGCGTGCCGGCACAAGAACGTCACTGCTAAAACATGAGGTGAGCACAGTTGCACCAATATGCTTGCGTACCAAGATGCCCACCCCTGCGCAAGGGCCGCCATCTGGGCCTGTGGCAGCCTCTGCAAGCAATGATTTCCACCCGTTGTTGATGGACCACTCCTGGGCGCTCTTGACCTGGGCTTTTCGTAGCTTCAACTCCTGAGCGAAGACGAGGTGCGTGCCGTTGCAGTTAGCCAGGTAATCCTGGACCTGAGGCCATCCACTGCCGTTGAAGGTGGCGACCTTGAAGTCCCGCCTGCGAGCCCCTCGAGGCGCACGACGTGGTCGCGAGGAGGTCGAAGGCGGCGGAGTCGACGTATGTGGATATTGCCCATAAGTAGGCATAGCAGAGCCAGGAGTGCCGTCATTGGACTGAGTCGAGCCAGATGGGGCGCCGTCGTGAATGTCGTCGTGGCGGGCAACATCCTGAGAGCACCCTGCTGCGACACTACTTTCACGCCCAGGGGCATCGACCACCCCTTCGTCAAGGGCCCTGGGGGTGTCACGAGCGAGCGTGGGGGAAACCGCGCACAGCTTCGACCTCGAGAGGGAAGCCGCCTGCCCGTCGGCAGCCACGCTCGTCGGAGTTAGCCCCGCAGCAACATGACCCGCACGCGCGCACCCCGCAGCAGCGCCACCAAAAGCGGTAGACCCTGGCACGACATGCGGCATGCATGGATGTGCGCCCAGGTTAGGGGCGTGGCTCCCCTGATCGACCTCGCTGTTACTCGATCTCACTGCCACGTATCTCGAGGCGCGCAGGTGCCGCTCTGCAACAAGACGTCGCGCTGGAATGAAAGGACAATCTGCAGACCGTGTAGTGCTGACCCGAACTTGCAGCAGTGCTGTGGCGTCACCAGGGGCAGGAGGCTGCACATCATCATCAGCATCGGGGAAAGGTGGATGCTCCAGATCCTGCTCTGATGAGGGCTCCTGCTCTGATGAGGGCATAGTCGATGAAATCAAAGTGCTGCCACCAGCCAACAACGTGCGCTGGTGTAGGAGATTGACCATAGAGGCTCCGAAGGCACGATGAGCTTCGATGAGCCTTGTACCTGCATGAACTCCGTCCTGTTCCTGCATGGACTGGGCCTGTGCCAGTAGCAGGCGTGCCTCGCGCAACTGTAAGAGGAGCTGCCTCGCCTCGGCGTACCAGGAGGCGGGGCTGGCCAAATGTGTGGCCAGGTACAGCATAACGCGTGCATGGTAGTCAGCAGCGCCACGCCAAGCGGTCTCGCACTAGGCGACGGCCATGTCGTGCAAGGCGGCCTCAGATGGCGCCAACGCACGAAGCTGGGGCATAAGCCTGATCATGAGCTCGGCATATGGAACACACCACCATGTCCAGCCGGCGTGCGCCATACCCACGTCCTGCCAGGATACCGTGTCTGCACTCCACCGCTCGGCGTATGCGTTGAGGTGCGTGCGAAAGGTCTGAGGTCCGTCTGACGGATCATGTAAAGGGAAGGTGTCCACGAGCGAGTGCCGTTGCAAGCCGCAATAGTCGACGGAGTCGCCATCCGTCTGACCAGCCAAAACTGCAGGACCATCGCTCGGGGCCAAGAGCATATATGAAGCGGCCGCAGACATCGGCTCCAAAGATCCATTGTCGTGGCCATTCAGGAATGGAGCGGCTGCCATCTGATCACGTGGCTGGTGTGCTGACAGGCTGGCCGCGAGCATCTCCGTGTGCGTCAGGCCCTTCCAGATCTTGATCAATGGCTGCGTCCCAAAGGTGGGTGCCGCCTGGGAATACTGCCAGGAGTGCGAGGCGCAACACCCTCCATGGGCGCGGTGAGCACGGGGGCGACGTCAGGAGGCTCAGCACCTGGCTCTGCACTTGGGCCACTGGGGACGACAGCGCGCCGATGGAGTACAAAGGCGCGCTGAAGCTCAACGAGGTGCGTGTTGAGCGATTGGAGCAGCATGTCTGGGTTGCCAGCGGCCACAGCACGTGGTGCTGCGGCGACCACTCCTTGCAGGCGGCCCATGGCCTCCTCCAGACTGCCGACCGTCGAGTCACCGGGGGTAGTTGCCATGATGGCAGCACGCGCCGTGGCGACTTCTGCCTGAATGGCGGCCAGCTCCGCGGCAGCGCTCGTGAGCTCCGTCTGCTTCGCCGTGAGCTGCTCCTGCAGCGCGTCGACCTGCGTCTTGAGGTCGTTGTGCTCACGAAGCTTAGATGCTTGGCGATCCAGAGCACGGCGAAGCATGTCGTCAGGGGTGCGGGCGGCGCGCTTACGTTCCTCTGCGCCCGCCAGTTGCTTCTTGGCAGAGAGTACCACCTTCGAGTCCTCAGGAAGCTGAAGACGGCGCAGGGCGGCGAGGGCCTTGCGGGCACGAGCAACGTCGTCTTGCTCACCCTGGCCGCCTGTGGAGGTGCTCTCGGCGTCTTGAGGCGGGGCTCTGCTGGGGGCCCCACGCGACTGCCTGCTGCCTGACTGGGCACGGCGCTTGGCACCAGGCGGTTCGGCACCAGATGGATCTGGTCGGCCGAGCCTGTCCCAGCCGCACATGTAGCAGCACTCGTTCTGCTGGAAGTTGCTGGAAGTTCTGCTGGAAGTTGGTTCGAAGCTGGCTCCCAGGCGCGCCAGGGCCCGAAGCACCACGGCCCTCCTGGGGGCCTCGGCTGCGGCCGCGCCCACCTTTGGCCATGGCAGGCGGCCTGGAGCCGTGGTGGCGCGTGAGGGCGTCGTGGTCGGCGGCGAGCCGCAGGCGGCGGCGAGCCGATGCACGGATGCGCCGCAAGCGGCGGTGCCACGCTGGAGAGCGCGACCGTGGTGGGCCGCCCTCTGTGGCGAGTGCAGTGGGCCTCTGGGCAGAGCGCCGAGGCCACAGGGGGGGCAGCTGCCTCGCGATCGCTGGCTCGCGGCAGCCGCGTCGCGCCAGGCGAAGCCTGGGGCTGGGGGCTCCCTATTGCACGGGCCCCGCGCCCCCCGCGGGCAAAACGGCTGCGGGGGGGGGGGGCCACGCAGGGAGCCACCTCGGAGGAGGAGGGGAAGGTGTAGGAGGAGGGGGGAGAGGAGCGGTGAGGAGGAAAGGGAGTAGGAGGAGAAGGATGAGGATAGGGGGGGATCAGGAGTAAGAGAGGGCAACTCCTCCTCCTCCTCCTCCTCCTCCTCCTCCTCCCTCCTCCTCCTCCTCCTCCTCCTCCCTCCTCCCTTCCTCCCCCTCCTCCCCCTCCTCCTCCTCCTCCTCCTCCTCCTCCTCCTCCTCCTCCTCCTCCTCCTCCTCCTCCTCCTCCTCCTCCTCCTCCTCCTCCTCCTCCTCCGGCCCTCGAAGGCGAGGCCCTTTCTGGAACGCCCCGCGCGTGGCCCAACCTGGCTCTGGGGCGTCGGCCCCTCCGCGGGGTCGTGCAGGGCGCCGGCCTCGGGCAGCGAGCGGGAGGACGCCCTCGCCGAGCCTGCCGTGCGCGGGTCGCGCCCGAGCGAGCGGAGCGTGTCGATCCTCTGCATGTCCTCGAGTCCGCACGGGCACTCGTGGGGCCCATAGCCCGGGTAGCAGGGCGCCCGAAGGGCGTGGAAAGGCCCGTCGAAGGACTCTGGAAGGACCTGGAGAGAGCTTCCGAAGGACCTTCTGGAGAGCTGCCGGGCACGCGTATTGGGGAACGCTCAGGCAGGGTGTCTCGGGACAAATTTCCGGTTTGGACAAGCTTCGCCGGGGATCCTGCGGGAAGTCAGAACGACCTCCAGGGCTACCTGTGTCCTCGAGTCCGCCCGAACAAATTGTATACTATACACGTCGGTCAGAAGAAGTGGGCAGAAACATGAAATAGGAAGGCGTTGGAAAAAGATCGAGTTTCCTTCCGCCCCCTACATGTCTAGGGGAACGAAGAATGGCATGAACATGAAAACGCTAAGGTCCGCGCGGATGTCACCCCCTCCCTGGCGCGTGGAGCGCGCCAGGGGCGGCGCCGGCGCCGCCATGGGTGGTCCAGCGCCGATCCGAGAAATCCTCGCGGACCTCCGAGTTTTTACGTTCATGTCATTCTCTGTTCCCCTAAGCGGGCGAGGGTCCTGGTCGTGGGTCTGGCATACAGAGTTCCATCCCTGGGGCGTGGCTTCTGTATCGTGAAGGTGGCCCCCGGCGGCGGAATCTGGCTTGGGCGGGGAGGGTGTGGTATATTTGAAAACTTGAGGTTCGAGGGCAACTCTTTCTCCCAGATGACTGTCTGAGAGCTAAGAGGGCTTCAGATTAGAATCCGGCGCCGCAGGGTAGCCCCAGGGCTCGTTCTGGCTTCGGTCAATCATCGCCGCTGCGCCTCCTGAGGTCGCAGCGCGTCCCTACATGCCTTTCCTGGCTGTTTTCCAATACGTGTGCCCTGAAACTTCCCAGAAGCTCTTTCGAAAGCACCTTCCTGGAGCTTCGAGAGCTCCTTCCCGCGGCATTGGAAGGCCTTCCTGGCGCTCCGCGATGCGCGTTTTAGATTTTAGACTGCACATGCTTCGCTCGAGGGAGAGAAGACGGGAGCGGACAGCACGACTCAACAGCTGGCGGTAGCATGCGAATGTCGCCACACACACCTCAAGCTTGGTGAGAAGACGTACTGGTGCGGCCAGGGAGGTTGCACGCGAAAGGCGTGGACTTCCTCACGCAGCATGCTGTCCTCAAGGGCAGCTGTGCTCGCGCTTCGCGCTGCGCGAAGCACGAGCAACGCCGCGCTCTCGTGCCGCCCCCCTGGGCGAGCAGAGGAGGACAAGGAAGGTGAGGAGGAGCCGCGAATCGCGAACCGCGAGTAGCTTTAGGTCGGGCATGTCCCCCTACAGGCGGGATTTGAAGGACAAATGAAGCATTGCCGAAACAAATGCACACATTTGTGCAAATATCGACCAAAAACGGCCCCCAAATTATCTTTAAAACTATGTTTGAATATTCCTCCTGTAGAGGGACAGGCTCGACTTAAGAGTAGCTTTACAGCCTCGTGGCGGCCCTGTCCTCCCGGAAGAGGCTGAGCATGCGGAGCCTGCTGCCCTGGGCGACGTCGAGGCCCTCCTATGAGCAACGCTTTTGACCGATCCCCCGTCCCCACTGGCGTGGCCTCGGCCCCAAAGACTTTTACCCTCCCGGGTGGGGGTCGATGCTGTTCTCTTCGGCTCTCGCGGGGCCAATCTAAAAACTCGCAGGTCCGCGCGGATTGCTCGGATCCGCGCTGGAACCCGCTCCTTGGCGCGCGGAACGCGCCAGGGGCGGCGCCGGAGGCGCCGCCAGGGGGGGGTCCAGCGCCGATCCGAGAAATCCGCGCGGACCTCCGAGTTGTTATGTTCATGTCATTCTGCGTTCCCCTGGAGCCCTAGAGATACTGCAAGATCCTGCATCCAAAGCTGGGTCAATGCGAAGGATCCTGCAAGATCCTGCAGGATCCTGCGCCCAAACCTGGGTCAATGCGACCCTGGTCCTGCAGCATCCTGCAAGATCGGGCGCTCTGGCTGACCCCCATTCGCATTGACCCCCGTCTCAAGGCTTCCGAGTGGGGCTGAGATACCATGGCCTGGTGGGGATGAGGACCGGTTAAACGATGCTGATCCTTAGCTCTGTTGCCAGCAAGCCGCTCCTTGCGCCTCTGCACCGCGCGGTGCAGCCTCGCGAGCCTCCTGAGGCCCTCGTCGAACGTCTCCTCGGCTTTCTCGAAGACGGGCTTGCGGAGCAGGGCGCCCCTTGCGAGCAGCCGATCGCTCAGGAGTCCGAAGCTGAACTTCTTCGCCTGCCTCTCTTCCTCAAGGGGAGGGGGGGCACGAATACACCGATACAGCTGCTCCCCAGGCCTCTCGCGGGCGCGTTCAGGCCAGCAATTCAACGGGAATCCAGCCAAGGCGACGAGGGCTCTCTAGGAGGAGCAGCGGCATCTCGAGGAACAACCAACTGAATACACGTAAATTTTCGGAGCTCCGCGCGGATTTCTTGGATCTGCGCTGAGACTTTTGTTGCTCTCGTCGTACTTAGGGACCACATCCCAGAAATGAGTTCGAGCACCCAGAAAAGTACGGAAGCAGTGTCGAGCGAGTATCGCCTCCCAGGGCCCGACACGTGAAACCCTCCAGCCTGGGAACTTTTCCTTGGTGCTCGAGACTCCTTCTGGTGGTCAAGGCTGAAGTAGGTTGGAACAGCACACAAGCTGGGAGCCCCTCCTTGGCCCGCGGAGCGCGCCAGGGGCAGCACAGGCGCTGGAAAGAAGGGCCCAGCGTTGCGGATGCCACGACAATGGACACCCTAACAGTCCTACCATTGAACTCAAGATGTGATCAAAATGTCGACAAGATGCTCTGAGCATGGTTTAAACATGTTTGTTGTACATGATAAAAAAACATGTTTAACCCATGTTTAAGACATCTGGAAAGTGTTTGGCGACATGCTTCCTCTCCATGGATCGTCCTCCACGAGCCCAGCGCTGATCCGAGCAAGCCGCGCGGAGCTCCGAACACTTGTGTGCTCTGACGCTGCGCCTCTCCGCCACCACCGCCCACCACGGCCGAGCATCCAGAGGGGCGTGTGGGCACAGCTGAGCTGCAGCATTGGCAACCGCCAGAACAGGTTATGACTAGACCTGGGGAAGGAGGAGGAGGAGGAGGAGGAGGAGGACGAGGAGGAGGAGGAGGAGGAGGAGAAGCAGGAGGAGGAGGAGGAAGAACAGAGGAATGTACGTCACGTTGTGGCTGCGCAAGCAATCTAGACTTGTTGTGTAAATTTGTGCGCTGACGACGTCCGCTGCTGCCAGGGCCGGCCTGGCGACGACGACGACACATGTCATCCCCTTGGCGAGAAGTCACCGAGGCCCCAGGACGAGCGGAGGCATCGGTGACTTCTCGCCTCCCTCCGGCTCACGAGCGGCGGAACCCCGAACCCAAAATTGTTTTCATCACTTGGAGACACATCTTTCACTTCCGCCGCCTTCCGCCGAGCTTCCGCCGGCGGAGGCGGCCTCGCTTTACTTCCGCCGACCTTCCGCCGCATTCCGCCGCGGAAGTGTTGGCAACTCCTTCGATCCTGGAAGGCAAGGCCTTTTCTGGAACGCTCCATCTGTATCCGCGCCCTCGTGGTCCGTACTCTGGTGCGTGACCCCGTGGACACGCGGCTCTCCGCGGGGCCGCGGCCCCGGGGGCCCGGCCAGCGAGGCCGCAGACACGTGGATCTGTACTTTGCCCACCACTGGCTAAGAGGAACAATAGCTATCTGCACATGCTCCGGCTCTGGCCAGGCCCCCCCTGAGCCCAGGATCTGTGCATGCGCCCTCGTGACACACACTCACACACACACCGAGCCTGGGCTCTGGGACGGGCCTGGCCAGGATCGGTGCATGTGCACGGGTCTGCTCGCCCGACTGGACCAGAAGCCGAATCTGCTGATGATGATGACGATGATGATGATGATGCTGATGACGATGATGACGATGATGCTGATGATGCTGATGATGATGCTGATGATGATGATGATGATGATGATGATGATGATGATGATGGAGATGGTGGTGGTGATGATGACAATGACGGTGATGGTGATGGTGATGGTGATGGTGATGATGATGATGATGATGATGATGATGATGATGATGATGATGATGATGATGATGATGATGATGATGATGATAATGATAATGATGATGGTGATGGTGATGGTGATGGTGATGGTGGTGGTAGTGATGATGATGACGATGACGATGACGATGATGGTGATGATGATGATGATGATGATGATGATGATGATGATGATGATGATGATGATGATGATGATGACGACCAGGCGCTTAATATGATGACCCCCCGCGGTGGCCCGGCCACCGGTCTCCTCCAGCCGGTCCGCCAGCTCCTCCGAGTCCAGGCTCAGCAAATCGGCGTCGAGCGGGCCCGGCTCCGGGCCCCGGCGCGCGCCCGGGAGCCGCAGGGCGGAGCGCAGCCAGGCGAGCAGCTGGCGCTCCCGGGGGCCCGCTCCTGGGGGGGCAGCACGCCGACCACGGCCATGCTGACGACGACGACGACGACGACGACGACGACGACGACGACGACGACGACGGCGGCGGCAACAGCGACGACGACGCCGACGGCAGTGGCACGCCAATCGCTCTGTGGCAACTCGCTGGAGGCTCCCATGCCATCTTGTTGGCTCCTGCGAACCGACGCGAATCGACGCCCCTCGACGTTGCATCGACGCGAATTGACGTTAGTCGACGCTAGATCGGCGCCATCTCGCCGATTACCCAGCGCTAATCGACGCCCGTCGACACTGAAGACGGAGTTAAGAGGGTGTACAAGGCTCCGGATACTTGCTACCGAACGATCGTGGTCATGGTCCATGCTGGCCGCCGCCGATCCGCGGGGATGATCCACAGATCGGCGGTGGCCACGAGGCACGGTGACCTGGATCAGCACCGCCGCTTCCACCTTCAGTCTTGGTCATTGCCCTCGCATTCATACCCTCCAGCTCCTGCGTCGAGCCCCGTCAAGACCACCGCGAGCCTCTGCTCGATGCTCCTGCAGGGGAGCAACACGTGGCATGAACATAAACTGTCGGAGCTCCGCGCGGATTTCTGGGATCGGCGCTGGGCCCCCCTGGCGGCGCCTGTGGCGCCGCACGTGAAGCGCTCCGCGCGCCGGGAAGGGGGATCCGGCGCAGATCCGAGAAGTCTGAACAGAGCTCCGAACACTTCCCGTTTACGCAGCTCTTGCTGCACCGACCCTCCCGGGGCTCCGGGCGCTGCCGACGCTGCCGCGACGGCCGTGAGAGCGCCGCGGGCCCGTGCCGAGGTCCCGCTCCATCGACGCCCACAGACAGCGCGACTCGCGCCTGATCTCCTCGGCCTCAAGGCTGCCGTGCTCGCGCAGGTCGCCCAACACCGCCAGCGCCTCCTGGAGGAGCCCCCGGCTCTCTTTCTTGCTCGGGTCGCTGTCGGCCAGCTTGGCCAGACTCTCGGCGAACGTGCGCATGATGTCGACTTTTCCTGACTCGGTGTGCAGGTTGGTGCTAGCACGGGCCTGCAGCGCTCGCCAGAGCTCCTTGCTATCCCTTAAACTTTCGGGGCACTCCGGGTCTTCGATGACGTCGCCCACCTCGTTGCCATACGCCTGGCGCACGCTTGCGAACCACCTCCCGAAACGCTGCCGCCAGAAGAACAACGTCCTGTTGTAAGTGGCGATGTAGCTTTTGAAGCTGGCCAGTCGCTGCTCGAGCTGCGCAGCCGGGTCCACGTCCTCAGTGCAAGATGAAACCAAACATAACACGTTCGGAGGTCTGCGTGGATTTCGTGGATCAGCGCTGGGCCCCCCCTGGCGCCCCCAGGAGCGGCGCCGAAGGAGACGCCACGGGGGCCCAACGCCGCTCCGCCACATCTGCGCGGGCGTCCAAACATCTGCATGTGTGTTTGTGCTCTTCGACTCCTTCAAACCCTTGCGACCCGTCAACTTGGCCAGCCTCGCGTACATCTTGGACAAGTCTTCCCGGCTCCTCTCCGCCCGGCGTCGCAGCACCTTGTTCACGTTGGTCTGCAGGTCCAGCATCTTCTCGACGTTGTGCTGGGCAGCTTCTGCCTGTGCCTCCTCGAGCCTGTGAGGAAGCACAAGACCATACACGGTGGTGGGAAGAAGTAGGCAATTCGCCCGACGACAGACTCAACCAGAGGCAGCTGCGAGTACCGCGAGGGAGACGAGACGCAGCAGGGGGGCACGCAAGCTCGGCATAGCGCACGTGGCACAACCTGTGCGTCTGGAGCTCTGTATGGGGCCACGATCCTCGTGAGGGGGGTGCCCAACAGGCCCGAGTGCGCCGTGCGGACCCTGCCACTGGGGCCTTGGGCGGAGCTCCCGATGGGGCCACGATCCCCCTGCTTCTGGGTCCCTCGGTGGCGACCCCTATAAGGCATCGATCCTCGTGAGCGGTGTGCCGAACTGGCCCGAGTCCGCCGTGCGGACCCTGCCACTGGGGCCCTCGGTGGCGACCCCTATGGGGCCACGATCCTCGTGAGGGGGGTGCCCAACAGGCCCGAGTGCGCCATGCGGACCCTGCCACTGGGGCCCTCGGTGGCGCTCCCTATAGGGGCCACGATCCTCGTGAGGGTTGTGCTGGACTGGCCCGGGTCCACCATGCGGCCCCTGCCACTGGGGCCTTGGGCGGAGCTCCCGATGGGGCCACGATCCTCTTGAGGATGTGTCGAACTGGCCGCCATGCAGACCCTGACACTGGGGCCTTCGGTTGAGCCCCCTATGGGGCATCGATCCTCGTGAGTGGTGTGCCGAACTGGCCGCCATGCGGACCCTGACACTGGGGCCTTCGGTGGAGCCCCCTGTGGGGCCACGGTTCCTGTGAGGGGTGTGCCAGACTTGTCCGAGTCTGCCGTGCGGACCCTGCAACTGGGGCCTTTGGAGGCACTTCCTATGGGGCCACGATCCTCATTAGGGGTGTGCCGAGCTGGCGGGAGCCCATCATGCGGACCCTGCCACTGGGGCCTTGGGTGGAGCTACCTATGGGGCCACGATCCTCGTGGGGGGCGTGCCGAAATTGACATGCGGAGGGCAGAGTCACGGACAGGAGGAGGAAGGATGGGGGAGGAAGAAGGAGGAGAGGAGAGGAGGAAACGCGGGGCGCTGTCTCTTCAAAACGAAGACCCAGCACCACATGATATTTTTGAACAAAAAAATAGGGAGGCGGGCAAACTAGATTGGGTTCAGGCCCTCCCAGAGAATAACAACACGCAGCAAACGCGTATTGGCTCTTGGAGTGGGAAGGAGCGTGAAGCAGAATGAGATCTGGGAATCCCAGCACATTTATTTTCAACAGCCTAGCGTGTACCAGTGCGGCAGCTCTCCAGATGCCTCCCCACGCGCGTTCTGACAAGGAGACCGAGGCGCATCCAGCCAGGGAAACCAGCCCTTCTCAAGGACGAAGGCCTCTTCCTTCGACCCCCTCCGTCTCGACGATTCCTCCTCCTCCTCCTCCTCCTCCTCCTCCTCCTCCTCCTCCTGCATGAGTCGGAGGAGCGTGACACATCCGTGATGCATCGGCGATGCACTGACAACCTCGGTGATGCATCGCGTGGTGAAAATCGTGCTCCATGTCGCGCCACATCGCCGATGCATCGGCGATGCGGCGTGATCCAGAAAGCCCATCTACTCTCGGAAATTTGGAAGGCCAGGACCGAGGAAGCCCCGGAAAAGACTGAGCCTCTCGGGGTTGCCGAGCCTCTCGGGGAGGGAACGCATGCTACACAGGCCTGGGCAGACGCCCTTCCCTGCCAAGGGGATGGCAGGGGAAAAAAAACGATCTGCCATCCGGGAGGATGACGGGGGGACGAAGCCCCGAGGAAACGGCGTCGGTATCGGGAACGTCTCTGCCGCCTCGCGCTCGCCGTTGTCTGCGTGGTCCCCACCGTCCCGGGGTGCGCTGCCGCCGAGGCGCGCGGCCCGCGGCCGGCAAGGAGGAGGAGAAGGCGGAGGAGGAGGAGGAGAAGGCGGAGGCGGAGGAGGAGGAGGAGGAGGAGGAGGAGGAGGACGAGGAGGAGGAGGAGGTTCTCGAGGAGAAAAAGGGGGAGGAGGAGGAGGAGGACATTTGGCATTCGCTTCGGGGTGAACTAGAGTCAGGCGCGTTCCTCGGACAGCAGCTGACCCCCAGACCATTGCCTGGGGCGCTGCCGGTTCCGATTCGGCTACCGAGCCCTGCCCCAGAGAGGAGGGGGAGGAAGAGGAGGAAGGTTGGAGAAAGGGAGGGGGAAGGAAATCAACTGCTATGCGCTGGGGTAACTCACTTCCCACATTCTAATGGGCTGACCAACTAGCAAAGCGAGACCTGACCTTCCCTCCAAAAGGGATGAAAAGAGTAAGAATGCCCACCCAACCTTTCCCCTCACAGACAAGAACATCACCTGGACGCCAACGTGCAGGTTCGGGCTTTCAGGCATGGCATTGCCATGGCACGACCCGCCAGGAGAGGGCAGAGTTTTGCAACCTAGTCCTGGCTGCCAATTCCATGCACTGTCTGGCGGGAGAGAAGGGGATAAACTGGGCTGTAGAGGAGGAGGGAGGACTGGAAGGATTCAGGCTGCAAGACTTCGCTTGCCTGCCTGCTGGCCTACTAGATTACTTGTGCCATATTTGCTAGGAAATATGCACACGACGCTGTAAAGCTCACCCTCACAGAAGTACGAATGGTCCCTGAAATTACTTGCAACTGCACATCCTAGTGCTTGCACAAAGCGAAGGGGCCTGGACAACATGTGTCAATAATGGCTATACGCTGCGCGTTCTAGCGCCTGCGGCTGTCACGATGATGAGGGTGAGCTGAGGGAAGCCATGCTTGGCTAAGTGTGTCTGATTCGATTGCATGCTAGCGAATTGTTTCAGTGCTGCCAGCAAGGTGGCTTAGAAGTGATATTAGACATGGATAAGTCCACATCAAAAGCGCAGATACGACCGCATTGAGAAAAACATGCCGTGACCATTGACAGCTCACGCCAAATGGCCTTCTAGCCAAGCTGATGTGTTCCGTAGCCTGAGGTCATTTCCCAAAACGTGCTCACGATTTGCAATGTTAGGCATTGACTTGAGGGTCTCTTACCTCATGTTGCTGTCTCTGCCGACTTGCTGTTCTGGGCTGGATCTTCCGAGCCCCTGGTCTGCTTGAGCCTCTTGAGCTCGTCCCTAGCATTGTCGAGCTGCTCTGCCAACGATTTGATGCGAGCCTCCTGTAAATTCTGCTTGAGTTCTTCCATTCTGGATGACGAGCGATCGCCTTCGCTGGTTACCTCTGGATGGGCTTCGGACTCTGAGCTAGAGTCCTTGCGCTTGCGCTCCGATTGGGACACGGGCATTCTGGGATCTGACGGCCTCCTAGCCTTCTCCCTCTTTGACTTCTTCGATTTCTCGTCCTTCTTGGACTTTTTGTGAGCCTTCCTAGGCTTACGAATGGTTCTGTCCTTAAACTGCTTCGAGCGGGACGCCATGGCTGCAACCTGTGTGAGCGCGAAAGACACTGAGTGGCCTCCTGGGAGGCCGGTCTGGGAAATTGCTGACCTGGCCAGCTGCCTTGAGCCAAAATGGCTTGAGCCAAATTGGCTACGGGGGAGGAGGAGGAGGAGGAGGAGGAGGAGGAGGAGGAGGAGGAGGAGCAGAAGGAGGAGGAGGAGGAAGAGGAGGAGGAGGAGGAATGCTCCCCGCTCCCTCTGGCTCCAGCCCCCGTCGCCGCGGGCAGCACAGAGCTGCCGGCAGCCAGCTCTCCGCGAGAGGCGCCTGGGGAGGGCGGAGCGCCGGTTGCTCCCGCCCGCTGCGCCTCAGCCGCCGGATCTCCGCCGCCCGCTCCTCGGCCTCGCCGGCCGACGCCCGCCTCGAGCCCGCCTAACAGGGAGGGCGCCGACGCTACAGAGCCTCCTGGAGTCTGAGCCTCGGGGTGCTCTTTTCTCGGCTCCTCCTCCTCCTCCTCCTCCTTCTCCTCCTCCTTTCTCCTTCCTCCTCCTCCTCCTCCTCCTCCTCCTCCTTATCCTTCTTCCTCCTCCTCCCTCCTCCTCCTCCTCCTCTCCTCCTCCTCCTCCTCCGTCCTGCCTCCTCCTCCTCCTCCTCCTCCTCTTCCTCCTCCTCCTTCTCCTCCTCCTTCTCCTCCTTCTCCTCCTCCTCCTACCTCCCTCCCTCCCTCCCTCCCTACCTTCCCTGCACTCCCTCCCTCCCTCCATCCCTCCCTCTCCTTCGTAGCCGCCGTCTCGGCTTGAGGTTCTGGGCACGGGAGAGCTTGCCATCGCTCGGACATCCATTCCCCGTGCCTTTTTCGGCTCCGTGCGCCTAGTGCTTCCCAAGAGGATCGGAGATGCTCCTCGATGGTCTTGGCCGAGAAGATATGCACACGCCCGAGCGATGCCCAGAGAAACGGCAGAAACACGAAGTCTTGGAGCTCCGCGCGGGTTCCTTGGATCTGCACCGGACCCCCCTCCCTGGAGCGCGGAGCGCGCCAGGGGCGGCTCCGGAGGTGATGGGCCTGTTTTCCACCACACCACCACTATAAGTTGGAGGGGGAGGGGATCCTCCTCCTCCTCCTCCTCCTCCTCCTCCTCCTCCTCCTCCTCCTCGTCTTCCTCCTCCTTCCCCCCGTCCAGCTGATGGCGGTGGTGGAAGACAGGCCCACCAGGAGGCGCCGTCGGGGGGCTCCGGCGCAGATCCCAGGCACCCGCGCGGAGCTCCGAGCGCCGACGGTTCTATATGGAGAGCCCTGGGCCCGTCGAGGCACGCCCGCACCGACCCGGGCCGGGCCCGTCTGAGGCCCCGGGCTCGGTGTTGCACGCCCTGCGGACCAGGCCGGGAGGACACGCCGGCCCTGGGCCTCGCCACCGCTCGGGCGCCCGTTCCCCGTGCGCTCTTCCCCCTCGCCGCGCGCTCGGGCTCCGAAGCGGATCCGGGGTGCTCCTCGGCGGCCCCCGCGGAGGAAGAGGCGTGCACGCGGCCGAGCGATGCCGAGGGGCCCACGGAGGGGCCGGGCTCGGGATCGGTGCGGGCGTAGCGCGGGCGCCCTCCGACCTGCTGCGACGGCCTCCTGCCCGCCGGGCGCAGCGCGGAGCGCCGCCGGGCGGCCGACTTCCCGCCGGAGGGCGGCGCGCCAAGGGCCACGCGAAGCAGCCGCTCGGCCATCTCCGCTCCTCCGGCGGGGCCGCACGCAGGAGCGGCCCCTGGTTTCGAAGTCGTCGTCTCGGATGATCTGGAGGGGCTCTGGAGGGGCTCGTCGCCAGGCGGGACGCTGCTCGGAGAGCTGGCCAGAACGAGCCCAGGAGGGGTCAGGGGACCGACTTTGAACGGATTGTTGTGGTGGAGCGGTTCCAACTGCGGGGTGATTTCCGGCAGCCAGGGGTGCCCTGATTGCCCCGAACGGCCGCCGGAGAGCCGAGCTATGACCCGAAAGCCAGGAGGTGGTCTCAGACACCCTCGAGCGCGTCGTGAGAAAATCACGGCGATGTCTTCCGCTATTTGTGGCCTCTAGGAGCCCTGGCTGGGCCTCGGGACCGTCAGCAACAACGACTCCGGAGGAACAGCAGATTCTGGGGAAGGGGTCCAGACCCCTGCATGGTAGTCCACGCCATGAACCCAGACATCCGGCTGCTCCAATTTTTTCGATGCGTGGGCCGCGGAGGTCTGGACCGCTTCCCCGCGACCGGCTTTTCGTCCTGAGTCGTTTGTTGACGCTCCCGACGCTCCCGAGGCCCGGCGAGGGCCCCCGGAGGCCGAAAGCGGCCAAAAGCCGCCCGCTCCGATTTCCGTTGGAGCATCGGATCCCATGGGAGGCAAAAGTCGCGACGTCGGAGCCCCAGGGAGTGCACCTGGGCACCGGTAGCCTCCGCTCGCGCGGCCTGCCGACCGCTGCGTGCGGCGCGGCAGTGGCAGCCAGCGTGCCTCTGGGCTGTGGGCCGCGCCGCGCCCCCCGCGGAAGCCACGCGCCAGAGTGAGGTCGGGCACGTCCTCCTACAGGCGGACACTGTGGGAAAAACACACATTCTGGGAAAACACACACACACAGACACTGTGTGTTTTTGTGTGTGTGTGTGTGTTTTTGTGTGTGTGTGTTTTCCCACAGTGTTTGTTTTTTTTCTTAAGGAAAAGGAACAGTGGTCCAAGCATCTTCAAACCTCGTCTAAAGCTCGTCCCTGGACCATCCCTTCACTACTTGCTTGAGCAATCCTCCCGTATAGAGGCACGCGCCCGACCCAGCGTCAGAGGGCACTCCGGCGAGAGAGGTCACTCTCGCACGTGGCGGGTCCAGCGGCGGCCACGCCGTCGCGCACGCCCTCCAGCACCCGCAGCAGCTCGGGCGCGCGCTCGGCCTCGGGCAGCTCCTGGGCCTCCAGGGCCCTCCGCCGCTGCCTCGCCAGCAGCTCCGTCTTCGCCCGGACCTCGCCGCGGAGCTGCTCGAGCTCCTCGCACCTGGAGGCGAACCTCGCGCGCTCCGACACCTCTCGGTCCAGGCGCCCAGTGGCGCTCACCATCAGCTCCAGATCCCTTGCCCCCGCTTTGGCCTTCGCCCTGGTGTCGAACAGGGCCTTCTTTGGCGGTTGCCGCGCGAATTGGGGAGATTTGCTCTGCCGCTGAGGGGAACGGCATCGGGAAACCAACTGCACAGTTGACGCCCAGGCCGTGCGGGCAGCCAACTCTGCAGGCTGTCTTGCGAACGTGGCCGAAACTCTGGCGATCGGTATCGACCGCAAGGCAACGAAAACACACATGTGCAATAGCCCCGGACTCGGGCAGGGGAGGCAGGAGGACGGACGCGGAGGAAGCGAAGGAGGAAGGAAGAGGGGAGGCAGGAGGACGGTGTCGAACAGAGCCTTCTGCAGCAGCGGGCTCGCCAGGGCGTGGACCAGTGGCGACAGCTCCTAGGCCACGAAAATATGAATACACAGACATCCTCCAACGAATATTGTATGTATCTTCAGGGTGGGCGGCGGTGTAGAAAGACGCCGGCTCCCAGTGGTGATTTATACACCGCCGCACTCTCCTGAGGCCCAGGTCTTTGAGGGGCAACGAGGGGGGACTGTCATATGGGGGGATGCATCGACCTGGAATCGGTGATACATCGCCGATCGATTGGCACTAGGCCTCCAATAGTGAATCCGCATCTTCCAGGGCAGGTTGGGGCTATCGGGCCCCTATCGGCGGTCAATGGGCGATTGGGGGTCGATGCATCCCCACCTAGGCCTATCCCCCCTATCGTTGCCACTGAGTCTTATCCATTGGAGGGTGTCTGTGTATATTTTTGTGGCCGAAGCTTCTCCTCCGCCTCGACGCGCCCGGAGCCCCAGGTGGACGCCGCCGCTGACGGCGAGGCGCTCCCGCTGGCTTTCTGGGCGCCCACCCCGGGCAGCAGGGCCCGCGCCTCCCCCTCGAGCCCGCTCTCGGCCTCGGAGTCCTCCTCGCCGAACACCTCGAACAGCGAGGACTCGCCTTCGGCGGCAACCCGCGGGAGCCTCCCATTCCATCTTGCTTGATGGGTTTGTTTTCCACCACCACCACCATAAGTAGGAGGGGGAGGGGGTCCTCCTCCTCCTCGTCCTCCTCCTCTTCACCTCTTTTCCCCCTCCAACTTCTAGTAGTGGTGGTGGAAAACAGGCCAATCATTGCTGGGTCTTGCGAACCGACGCTAATCGACGCTAAATCGAAGCTGACCAACGCCAGGCGACGCCAGTCGACGCTGTAAATCGGCGCTACCTCATCGGTTACCAGACGCTCATCGGCAGGGCTCCCATTACGAAGGTGCACGAGACTCCCACGCTTTGCCACCGACATCGCCTGTGCCCGGGCCGCCGATGCTTGAGCGAGCGACGCTCGAGCGGGCACCGCTGCGCCGCGTGCCCGCGCGGGGGACCTCCGGCGGCTCGTGGCCGAGGCTCGAGCGGGCGAGGCTCGAGCGGGCGACGCTCGAGCGGGCACCGCTGCGCCGCGTGCCCGCGCGGCGGACCTCCGGCGGCTCGCTCGAGCGGGCGAGACTCGCGCGGGCGGCGCTGCGCTGCGTGCCCGCGCCGGGGACCTCCGGCGGCTCGTGGCCGAGGGCCTCCGCGGCGGGCTGCGGGGCCTCTGGCGTTGCGTCGGCGGGCTGCCCGAGCAGGGACGCGAGCTCGCGGACGAGGCCGTCGAAGGCCATGGCCGTCTTGTTCGCTCGCTGCAGGGACTCGTAGGACTTCCCCTTCTCGACTACACGCAAGAGTGGCCCTGGGTAGGAGTGAGCTCTGGTGCGCGGACCGAGGGGGCGCAAGGTGGCCAAATCCAAGCGCGCAGGTCGCCGCTGACGCAACGCGCTCAGCGTTCGGGGGGGCCACGATGAGCCCCTACCAAGGTCACTCCAACGAAGGGTCACTCTTACGTCTGGTCGACCTTCTCCCGGTTTGCTATCCGCTCCCGGGCTTCTTCCACGAGGCAGTTCTCCACAGCCCTCAGCGAGGTCTTCAGGTCCACGGCCCGCTCGATGTCGGAGCCGGTGTCAGCCTCTGACACGACCAAGCCTGTGAGGGTCTTCACCGCCGGCAGGACGAACTCGCGCGGGTTGCGATTGAAATGCACGGTGCACGGGTCCTCTCCCCCCACCGTCCACAGCTCGTCGCCGAACTCCATGGCCACCTGCTGCCCAACACGCCTGCAACGGCGACACACCTAGATTGAACAGACGAAACTGCATAAACGGAAACGTGTGGAAGACCGCGCGGATTTCTTAGATCGGCGCTGGCTCCCCTTCCTGGCGCGCGGCAGTGCCAGAGGCCGCCAGGGAGGCCCAGCTGGGATCCAAGAAATCTGCGCGAACCTCCGATAGTTCTGGGGAAGCCAGAAGATACTGATACCGCGACACCCCGGACCTCTCCCAGGCTGCGTTTTGACCGGAAGTTCGAGGCGACTCCAGCGGTGGCAACGAGGGCCTCCGAAGAGGCCTCCAAAGGGGGAAATATGGGAAGGGTAGCGGTATGGGTACTTTTCACTCCTCCGAAGTTTATGTTGATGCAGGTTTCTGCTCCTCGAGCACCTCCCGCAGCTGGTCCTCGTGCGAGCGCTCCTTGTCCAGCAGCTCTCGCCTCTGGCCCTCGGCCTGCTTGCTAGCCAGACGGTTCCTGAAATTTGCCGCCTTCTTCGCCACGGACAGCAGGTCTGCGGAGGCGGCCATGCCCGCCGTGGACAGGCTCCCACAGGTGAACATGTCCTCGTCTTAGTTAGGACGAAGCCAGGACGAGGATAAAATCGTGTGAAGATGACTCGAGAATCTCTGAAATCCCGCGGTTCTGACGAATGTGTCGGGCGCCACGGCCTTCTCCGAGCCTTCCAGAATGCTCTGAGAGCGTTCTGGAACGCTCTGCAACGGACTTATCCTCGTCCTAGCCGCGCCCGATGAGCCGCCCCAGTACGCAAGACGCAATATGTAGCGTGCTGGCGCGAAGCTCAACACGTCTATTTAAAACGCAGGTCTGGCGCGGTAATCTTTACAACACGTGGGCCAACACGGGCCGAGCCAACACGCAGCGTGTTCAACTCAGACGTTTTGAACACGGCACGTGTTGCGTTTCAATGCGTGTGCATCAGGGCAGCTACGGTCCTCGTGGACGGGCATGCGCACGGAGTTCAGCCTTCCGCATATCATCGCCCTCTCGGCGAGCAGGGCCTGCTGAGCCTCAAAGCGCAGCTTCGCCTGCTTCCTCCGATCCTCGCCCTTCTCGTCCCAGTCGTTGCGGCGCAGCGACCGCTCCAGCTCCTTCGCCGCCACCGCGATGCTGTCATTGGCCTGCTCGAGAAGGTGCACGCACTCCTCGCCCCTTCTCGTCGTGCTCACGGTCAGGGACGTAACGAGCTCGAGGTGTTTCTTCTTTCGTTTCTCCTCGTGCGTTTGAGCCAACTGCTCGGGGGCTTCTCCCTGGTTGTCCGTAGCGACACACTGCTCGGAATCCAGGCCGTCGTCGCTGCTGTCGCTGGCGTTGCCCTGGGGCCCGGGGGTCTGGGCTAAAGTTATCTTGCTGGTCGGCTGTGGCTGCGAGGCCATCAGAGACTTGGCCCCCGTCAGCTGCGCCTTCACTAGTCTCTCCTCCAGCTCGATCGACGCCTGTGCGATGTTCGCGTTGGTGGCCAGCGAGCTCTGAGTCTTCTCCTTGCCGTGCCTTAGCAGCTCGAGCTGTGATTGAAACTTGGAGAGGGTACCCGATTCGACCTTCATACCGTCCAGGATCTTCTCGAGGAACCTGCCGAGCTCCTCGCATGCCTTCAGCTTGTGCTTGCTGAGGGTGTCCTCCATCGCGAGGCGCGATGCAGACAACATCTTGTGGCCCTGACCGTAATGCTCCCAATCCGCCACCGTGCCCCCTGGCACGTTGAGGGGTGCTAGAATGCCAAGTGCTGTCTTGTAGGATTTGTAATCTTGTAAGGGGCCCCCCCCGTCGGGCCGCACCTCGTCGCGTGCACCGGCCATACTCCGGGGGGGGTCTCCGGGCGGCCATGGCGCCTCCCTGGGGCTCTCCAAGGCTTCCATGACGGCCCAGGAGGCCCCCAAGACGGTTCAAGAGGGCCCCGAGTCGCCGAACGATCGCTCGAATACGCCCAAGGTGGCCTCAAGATGGCGCAATAGGCTTCCAAGGCGCCCCTAGAGGCCTGAAAGAGGTATCCCAAGAGGGTCCCCAGAGGCACAAATCATTGATGTTCCTCGCGTTTTAGACAGATGTTGACATCCGACGCTCCAAGACGGCCCAAGAGGCCCTCAAGACCACCCCAACACGGCCCAAGTGGCCTTCAAGAGGGCCCCAGGACGGCCCCCAAGGGGGACCCCAGGGAGAGAACACGAGCCGAATATCTGAGCCTTTCGCCCCCAGGGGCACCTCAGGAGGCCCCAAGAGGCGCCCAAGAGGCCCCCCCAAGAGCCCCCCAGAGGCCCTACGAGGCCCCCCGGAAGCCCCAAAACGGCCCCCAAGAGGCGTCAAAACTAACCTCCAAGAGGCCCCCGAGCGGCCTCCCACGAGATTCCAACGAACATCCACTGGGCTTACTACCCACAACGCAGGCACGGTTGCGGAACTTGCCGTAGACAGCTGGATAAAAGTCTTCGAGGTCGGACACGGCCTTGTTCCCTTCTTGGGACCGCCGCAGAATCACGCCGAACTCGAATGCCACCTGCTCCCAATTCAAGGAATCGATCGCTCTCAAGATCTTCCGGACCCGTGCTTCAAGCTTCAAGTGCTGCTCTGCCGCCTCCGCTCGCTCGCTCGTTGTCTGGTGGCCAGCCCCTATGCCAATCGCGTCATCGGAGATCTCGAGTGCCTCTTGGATGCTCGCCTCGAGCTCCGCGCGCGCGAGGGCACCCTGCAGGCGCTCCTCGGTGAGGAAGTCCACCCTGCCCGCCTCAAGGCCCCCCGTGGCGAACGCGTCCTTTTGACGGCGCGCACAAGGAGGTGGCACGAGAGTGTCAGCCTAAAAGGCGACGGGGGTTCTAAGAAGGCGAGGGGGCGTCTTAGAAGCACGCCCAGATTCCAAGCAGCCTTCAAAGAAACCCCTGGGCGCTTCGAAGAAGGCCCCTTGCCTTCTGAGAAGCCACCTGCCTTCGTAGAAGACCACACCCCCATTAGAAGAAGAAAAACAATTTAAATATAAACTTTTGGCGTTCCTCGCGGACTTCTTGGATCTGCGCTGGACGCCCCTTGGGCGCGCGGAGCCCGCCAGGGGCGGCGCCGGAGGCGCCGCCGGGGGGGCCCAGCGCGGATACAATGAATCCGCGCGGGCCGCCAAAAGTTTATGTTTATGCCGTTTTTAGTTCTTCGATTCTTAGAAGTCCACACCCCCATCGCGCCACCCCTCTGTGCGCGCCGCCCATCCTTCATGTGGGAGCAAAGGTCGACGAGATCCACCACGGTGAGGTCGGCCTCCGCCAGCCGGTCGATTGCATCGTACACGCCCAGAGAATTCTCGCCCGAGCCTCGGGAGCTGCGCAGTGGGGGGCGACACATGGGGTGCAGAAGGGCGCACCTCTCGTGGCCCTTCCGGGCACGAAAGGCGCACCTTTCTTCACCCCGCCTTTTTTTGTCGCTCCCGCTGAGACGAAGCCAGGACGAAGATAACATCTGGTAAGGATAAATCAAAGTTTCTGAGGCCCGGCGGCTCTGGAGGATGTCTCGGGCGCCGCGGCTTTCCTGGAGCGTTCCAGAACGCTCTGGAACAGATTTGTCCTCGTCCCAGCCGAGCCCGACATGCTCGCGTCGTGGAAAAAAACAGCGAGGGCGCGGATACAGACAATGATTTTCGCCGCTCGTGATGCTGGGGCCTGCCCTCCCGCGTTGCACTGCAGGCATAGTGGGTCAGGGATCGAGAGGGGGCGGAGGAGGAGGAGGAGGAGGAGGAGCACCAATGGAAACCCAAGAGTCATCAACGATGCTGGAATAAACCCTCCCTCCAAGCTCCCTCTTCATAGGCCCCTACACCGGTTCATTTCTACTGAGGGAACTGCCTCGTTGGAAGACACGTTTGAAGACCCTGAAGCATGTCAAGACATTGTTCTAGGGATTCGCGCCACGGATCAACCTGACTGCTGCGTCTTGACGATCCTGAATCGCGCCGGAACGCCATTCCTGGGACTTCAACACTGCGAATCAACGTAACTGTTGCGCCCGCATAATCCTGAAACCTTCCCAACACACAATGTCTGGTACGTTGATCAGGGGAATTTGCGAAACTCTTGCACATGTTTAAACTAATGTGTGCGGCGCTGAGGCGAGAGCAACATTTTGAAAAGGAACCGCCCTGAATCCGTGAAGAGTGTGCGCGGCGCTGAGGCGAGAAAACGACCCGCCCTCAATCCGTGACTGCTCGCGGCGCTACGACGAGAGACACAGTTTGAAAACGAACCGCCCTCAATCCGTGAAGCTCGTGCAAAGTTCGATGCGATTCTGGGCGGCGCTAAGGCGAGAGCCCCATTTTGAAAACCACCCGCCTTCCATCTGTGTAAGGGTTGTCAATATTTAAGCTTCAGGGTCACACATGGTGAGGCAGTCTCAGGCGAAACGTCTGGCCCGCTCTAAAGACTGGCTTCGAGGTGCGAGAGGGTATCTAGAAGGACAAGGAACGGAAGAGGAGGAGGAGGAGGAGGAGGAGGAGGAGGAGGAGGAGGAAGAGGAGGAGCAGGAGGAGCAGGAGGAACAGAAGGAGGAGGAGGAGAAGGAGCAGGAGGAGGAGGAGGAGGAGCAGGAGCAGGAGCAGGAGCAGGAGCCCCGCCCGACTTACGCGCCCGAGAGCCAGCGAGCTCCTCATGGCCGGGGCGCCCTGCGCAGGGAGACCCGCGCCCCGACGGCGTGCACCACGCGCCCTCCGACGCTCGCTGCGGGCCGGCCGCGCCGGCGAGCGCGGGCCCGGGCAGAGGATCCGTCGGGCTCGTCCGTGCGAGAGGCCCTCGCTCCTCGGCGCGGTCCGTCGGAGGAGGGAGAGGTACCCGTCGGTGGCGAGCGAGGGGGGGGAAGCGCGGAGGAGGAGGCCTTCTCGGAAGGCGACGGGACTTCTCAGAAGCCCCCGCGCCTTCTGAGAAGACTGTTGCATCTCCGGGGAAGGCGTAGAAGACTCCTAAGACTTCCGAGCCTCCTGAGAAGGCCTTCTCCTTCCCACTTCCCCCCCTCGCTCGCCGCCGAACCCATACCGCTGCCCTTCCCTCGATCTCCCCTCCTGGAGCCTCCTGGGAGGCCCTCGTCGCCACGTCTGGGCCCGCCTCGAAGTTCTGGTCCGAATGTGCACCCCGAGAGAGGTCCAGGGAGTGGCAGTCTCGGTCCAGCTTGGTTTCCTCCGTCAGGGTGCGGCAAGTCCGTGCCGTCACGACCCAGGCGCTGGTGTCTGAAATTACGCAGATCGCTCAGCTTGGAACGATCTCGGCGGCGTTTCGATCGCCAAATCGCTCCATATGGGTCGATTCTGGGCCACTGGCGGCGTTCAACCCTATACGCTCGTATCGGTCGATTCTGGGCCACTGGCGGCGTTCAGCCCTGTACGCTCGCACTGAAGTCGCCGCCGCGCGGGCAAGACGCGAAACCTACCGCCGGTGCATGTCCACTGCCGCACGGGTCGTGTCCCGCAGGAGCCTCGGGGAGCGGTGGAGGCGGACATAACTCCGCCCGCGCGCGCGTGGGCAGACGTCCACAGCCGCCACCCCTCGGGGCCTCCGGGCAAGATCCCGATCGGCGGCGA